GACCCGTGCTGTATTGCTTGGAGGTTCATGGTAATTGTGAACCAATTATAACTGTACTTATAGCTGTACTTATAACCATGTTAGGGCACTTAAGGGGTAATATGTACAGTTCTAATTGGTGAATAAGTACCATGAACCTCCAAAGTGGCCCTGAACCCTAAACCCTGAAACCCTGAAACCTTAAACCCTAAACCCTAATCTCTTGGTTAACAGTTAACAAGTACCCCATGAACCTCCAAGTGGCCTTCCCAAAAAGTTCCTTTGCCATTTGCAGGTCTGCAAGGCGCCCAGGGCTTCGGCTGAATGCCCGGAACCCGAGCTCCTACACCTTAAAGCATGCACCCTAACATGACAGCAGGGTGTAGGGTTTGGGGGTTTAGGGTTTAGGGTTTAGGGGCTAGGGGTTAGGGGTTAGGGGTTAGGGGTTAGGGTTTGGGGTTTGGGTTTTGGGGTTTGGGGTTTGGGGTTTAGGGTTTAGGGTTTAGGGACGTTTAGGGTTTAGGGTTTAGGGTTTAGGGTAAGTCGGTGGAAGGTCTTGGAACCAGCTTGTTCCTTGACCCTGAACCAAAAACTTCAACTCCAAACCCTCGAGCCTACTTCAACCCGAACTTCGAAGTGCTCGGCCAGTAAGGAATCCCACCCCAGAGTTCAGGGTTTAGGGTCGGAGGGTGGGAGTTTTAGGACTTCTCTCAGCCTTCAAGAGAAGTCAGACTGGCCCTTAAAACCCTAAAAACCCCACAACCCTACCTAAGCCCTAAAACCCGAAAACCCTGAAACCCTAAAACCCGAAACAAACCCTGAGAATGCCCTCGAACCCTCACAGCTCTCCCGCCGAAACGATCGAGGGTTGCGGCGGCGTCGAAGCTGGCGGGGTGGGCAAGGGCAAGAGGTTGGGATGTTGCCCCTCATACTAACAGTCCTGTATAGGGATTCTAGTACCCCCTATGATAATCCCTAGTAAGGACTGTTAGTATAAGGGGGAACATCCGTGCAAGCGCGTCTTTGCGGATTTCGGGGCTTCGGGTGTGAGATGGTAGGTTTGGGTTATTGGGCCTTGGGGGTCGAAGGACCCCCATGCCCTAAGCACCTACAAAAAATGAAGCGGGGTGGTGGGGTGGCTTTCGATTCCGGGGTAAACCCTAAACCCCGCGCCTTCCATCGGCCAGTGCAGCCCGCAGCGTTGCCAGGTCGCCTGCTCGGCAGGCCTCTCGTCTGCCAGCTGAGTGTCCAAACCCCGACTACTATGGGGGTTAGGGTTTAGGGCAGGGATTAGGGATTAGGGATTAGGGATTAGGGATTAGGGATTAGGGATTAGGGATTAGGGATTAGGGATTAGGGATTAGGGATTAGGGATTAGGGATTAGGGATTAGGGATTAGGGATTAGGGATTAGGGATTGGGGTTTAGGGATTAGGGATTAGGGATTAGGGATTAGGGATTAGGGATTAGGGATTAGGGATTAGAGTTTCGGGTTTCGGGTTCAGGGTTCAGGGTTCAGGGTTTAGGGTTTAGGGTGTAGGGTGTAGGGTGTAGGGGTTGAGGGTTTAGGGTTTAGGGTTTCCTTACTGATTAGAACAGGGTTTCGGGGGTGAAGATGGTACAACTATGTAGGGGCCATAGGGGAATACTATTCGTATTTTTTCGACCCTAAATTATTTGGGAGCTGGGGGTTTGCGAAAATAGGGGTACTTTTTTGGTGTGTTTCCTATACAAGTAAGAAGATTTAAACTTTGGGAAATAGTTGGGGTACCCGTATTTTGGGAAACATCGATTAGGGTTTTGGGGTTCAGGATTTACACCCTAAACTCTGCCATGTTTGCTGGCCGAGCGGCCCACTCCTGAATCCATGTGAATCGGAGTTGCGGCATACCCATATGCGCAGAAAAACATAAGACATGTGGTCGGTTCCCTATACCGGTCTCTTGGTGGTGCCCAGAAAAGGGACGATGTCTAGGGAACTGACGATGTGCCACCGTCGCAGTACTTGGGAGTCTGCACACTACTCGAAAATCTTACACCTCCACCCTATGTCAGACCCATGGGAGTGTTGGGGCCCCCTAATGAGCTACACCCTGAGCCTCGAGTCCTGGCCCCCTCTCAGGGTTTCCAGGTACCAAGGTATTCTGCCATCAATATCAGGGCTAAACCCTAAATCCTAAAACCCTAAACCCTAAACCCTAAACCCTGAACCCTAAACCCTAAACCCTAAACCCTAAACCCTAAACCCTAAACCCTAAATCCTAAACCCTAAACCCTAAACCCTAAACCCTAACCCCTGTGGCAACTTAAAGCTTCCGTCAGAAATGGACCCTTGGTACCTCCAGCCCGGGGTGCATCTTCATCGCCTCGCCGGACCCGCCCTCCCCTAGGGCTTAGGGCTTAGGGTTTAGGGCTTAGGGCTTAGGGTTTAGGGTTTAGGGTTTAGGGTTTAGGGTTTAGGGTTTAGGGTTTAGGGCTTAGGGATTAGGATGAATTTTACACGACAAGATGCTCGCCCTGATCTGACGTTCGCTTTGTTTGGCTTGTCCATGTGGTCTTACAAGGAGGTTTGCATCAGCAACGGCCCTGCCTGAAGATTCAATGGTGCCGGCTAGAAATGCCATGTTCCAGTAAACGATTTCATTTGACCTCTGAGGCAACAAACGACAGCTTGTCGTCGACCTGAAACGCCATAAAACCTCAAGCCCTGAATCCCACCCTGAACTTCATAAGCCCCAAATTCAGGGGCTTTAGGGTGTAGAGCTGGGGCGTGAAATTTGGGGTTTGGGGGCTTTGGGGTTTTAGTGGTTTGCGCGAGGGGATGTTAGGGTTTAGAGGTCAAGGAAGCCCCAAAGGAGAGCTAGCCGACGTCTGTCAGTTCCCATTTGGATCTCTTAACTTTTGGACAACAATGAGGTCGTTAGCTGACATTACAGACTATCCTATTTTTCTTTGAGCTTTCTTGACATCAGCTTTCATGCTTTCATTAACATTACCAATCTTATCTGGCACACTTCTTTTAATAGTGGGTGATATTCATACACTTTTCTTTGATCCTTTAGCTGGAGGAGACTCTACAATCTCTACAATCTATCAACATTCAGTTTGGGTTTTTGGACATCCAGAAGTTTACATCTTCATGATTCCGGCATTTGGGATCATTTCCATCATTTCTGGGAGTTTACAATTAAAAATCTTTGGTAACCATTCAATGGTCTTTGTTTGCCCCGTCATCTACTTCTCTTCTTGGAAGTCTTGTTTGGGGGGCCTGATGTGCATACTGGACACCCCAGCATGACAGCAGCAACGTTTAGGGTTTAGAGAAAGTGTTTATCAGGCTTAGGTACTGTTGAATCACTGGTGGAACCAGCACGGCAACAGCACGGGGTATCAGGTGTCTTTGCCTACACCGTTTACTCACGCACGAGTTCGGGGTCCCCAAGATCCTCGACGTAGAGGGCCCTCAAAGAGCTCGGAATGAAGAAGCCCGGGACACACAGACACACAGGCCAAAAGCTCCACGTCGCAACCTTCAACCGTGGCATCCTGAACACTGAACCCCCAAACCCGAGTCTTCGGCTTGCCGGGCCTTAGATGAGTGCCCGCCCCCAGACGCGACTTGCACACGGCCTGGGCGCGTCAGATGTGTTACGGAAGCTTCGCCAAAAATCCTAAACCCGAAGTCCTGAAACGCCCAAACCCTTAAATCCCTAAAGGTCTAGACATGGGCCGTAAATGGGTTCCTAGCATCAAAACCGTAAAGAGCCACGAAGCCCGAAGACAACGAAGACGACCTCGACTTCCTATGAGCTTAACCTGAGGGACCTAAGAATAAAAGACAGAAGGAAAAGGAAGGGCTCCTCTCAACCCGAACTTTGGGTTTTTGGGGGGTTTCAGCGTTTAGCGTAACCGTCCAAGCGCCAGATCCTAAACCCTAAACCCACCGGTGTGGATTTAGGGGATCGAGTTCCGGTCCCGGGATGAGTCTCCCTGAGAGCCCCAGTCGGCAGCACTACGTTGGGGTTTAGGGTTTAGGGTTTAGGGTTTAGGGTTTAGGGTTTAGGGTTTAGGGTTTAGGGTTTAGGGTTTAGGGTTTAGGGTTTAGGGTTTAGGGTTTAGGGTTTAGGGGTTTTCGTGGTTTACAGGCAAGTTCTGCAAAAACCTCCTGCACCCCAGAATCGATGGGTGGCCGCAGGCATCTTCATCCAAGGATCAGGATTCAGGAAGCCGGGAATCTGGATTTGCTGGATTCTCCCTTGAACCCTGAACTCTGAACTCTTGGCAAGCGAAACTTGTCCTGACAACGGCCATTTTTATCTGCAATAGCGGAAGCGGTATACCGATCTAAGAAAAAAACATGCATAAACCAGTTCTTCGAACTGTTCATCCTGTGATGGGTGCACACCCAATATTGCCCAGATCGCTGTCAACTCGTCATCTCGCCCAAGGCGAGACCAAGGCAATGAGTTGCAAATCCGAGACGAGACAAGGCATTGAGCTGCAACCACGAGGCTCAGTTAGGCTTTGTTAGGCTTTGTGGATAATAGGGTTTAGGGTTGAGGGTATAGGGTATAGGGTATAGGGTTTAGGGTTTAGGGTTTAGGGGGCTATGGTATATAGGTTTTAGGGTCTGGAGTTTAGGGGTATGCAGTTACACGTCATGAGTAAATGCTCTCTCTGAGCCCCTGGTTTTGAGGCCTGGCGACCTCATCCCAGGCTCAGAACCTTCCGTTCTTCGCATTTGTGAAACTGCTTCTGGGCTGTCTACTGAACTTTGTCGAAAAGCTCTTAGATCCTGACTTGCTTCTCAAGAACCTGCAAAGACTGGGGGCACGAAGAAGACAGGCCCTGCTTGGCAGCGCAGATAGCACATGCCATGATTTGCGAAAAGTGTTGGCTAGGTAGCCTAAAGACCTAAGTAATGATAAGACTAACACGGGTACCCTCATGTCTACCAAAAAGAGCACAGAACCCGATAAGGGCAAAGGGCTATCACTGGGCTTCCTAGCTGCTGTGCCAGGTTCAGGGGCGGGCCAGCATAAACGTCTTGCGACACCAGGCTGGCCAACACAGCAATCTAATGATAGAGTGCTGCAGCCACTGACCTGAGTTGTGGTAAAAAAAAAAAACCTTTGAGAGATTTTTCTGAGTATGTTCCACTTAAAGGGAAAGAAAGGAGCCCTAAACCAAAATGTCTACTAAACCCGAATCGAAACCATACACCCTGGCATCCCTAAGCCCGAAACTCTCAACCCTAAACCCTAAACCCTAAACTCTAAACCCTAAAACCTAAACCCTACACCCTAAACGCCAAACCCCAACCCTACATCCTAAACTGCGACCGGGCGGCTATAAGAAATGGCGCAAGCCACCGAGGAGAAAATCGCAAAGAGACATGAGGTCCACAACGTGTGTCCTCAGGAGGTTTCGGGTTTAGGGTTTAGGGTTTAGGGTTTAGGGTTTAGGGTTTAGGGTTTAGGGTTTAGGGTTTAGGGTTTAGGGTTTAGAGTTTAGGGTTTAGGGTTCCAAACCCTTTACGTTTGCCTTAGCTCTGCTCAAGGTCTTTAGGGCGCATGCTTGCTGGTCCACGCGAGCCCTGTGTGCGGAACCCACACCCCGTGCGGCTAAGCGTCGGTACGCGACCTCACCAACCACCGCCCCTGCAAGGAAGAAGAGGCAAACCGCCGCGTAGACGGCAACAGTCTGCCTCTTTGAAGAGGATTTCGGTCTTGGAGAGCTTTGGGATACCTCTTACTCCTGGATTTCGGCTTGAGAATATAGGTTGCTTCCGGACCTTCGGATTCCTGATGCAGGCTCATGGCAGATGAGCTTCTGACCCTAAGCTTCTTTCATGGATTGCTATATACCTTAAGGTCCTTTTCTTGCGGAGAGAGGGGGGGGGATCCCCCTTCCCTTTTGGTGCTTGGGTTCAGGGCTTAGGGCTTTGTGGGGATGGGGGGATGGGCGGAGATGACCTCACATTCTCCCAAAAAGGCCGAGAACCCAGAGGTTTGGCTACTGAGCGAAGGTCTGAATTGGGTGAAAGCTTGTGCCCTCGCGCAGCACGGGGCAAGAACGAGCTGAAGAGAGTTTAGGCCGAAACCTCGACAAGCAGTCGGGGCCTGTTCGGGGGTCCTGATTTTGCTGCAACTGGGGGCAGTGTCTGCAGAAGAGCTGCACGTAGTTGAAGAGGCCCGGCTTGTATGGCATCGCAAACCGGTCGCATAAGTAGTAGAGCAGCTTCAATGAGACGAGGATCCAGCACAAGGACACGCCAAAGACGTGGCCCACGAAAGACGACAGGACCTGACTATTCTATTCTACGTATCATCGGTTCATGTTAGCTGTAGATCATAGAATGACACTGAGATAGTTATTTATGTCCTTTTCTAATTTTGTTAATGTATGATTGACCACGAAGAAAGCCAGCCTGGATATCGGGGCAAAATATGGATTAGACACACCGCGCAACCACTTCCACTCCACCCTCCACCCTCCACCCTCCACCCTCCACCCTCCACCCTCCACCCTCCACCCTCCACCCTCCACCCTCCACCCTCTTGATTGCTTACACTCTTATCTAAACCCCCCCCCCCCCCCCCCCCGCATGCCTACCTAGCCTCGCTTGAAATTGTGACAAGGGATTTGCTCACCCGATTCTCATGTCACGCACGTAAGTCTGTTTAGGGTTTAGGGTTTAGGGCTTAGGGTTTAGGGTTTAGGATTTAGGATTTAGAGTTTAGAGTTCAGAGTTTTGGGTTCGGGGTTTGGGGTTTAGGGGTTTGGGTTTCGGGCGGTTGGCCCCAGCTGTCCGAAAAATCCCCTGCTCCTCTCAAGCCAAGGAGCTGCTGACGCAGGTGCGCCACCAAGTGCCACCTGAACCCTAAACCCTAAACCCTAAATCCTAAACCCTAAACCCTAAACCCTAAACCCTAAACCCTAAACCCTAAACCCTGTGTTCCTGATGGCCCTTTGGGGATTCTTGGCTGTGAGCTTCATCTACCCGACCAAAGCTGACAGCTTTGCCAAGAAGGCCCCAGTGGCAGACATCGTCTCCTCTAGCGCACCAGTGATCGGGACCGTTGAAAGCAGCCTGCAGAAGGCTTGTCTGATCCTACCAACAAACATGCCAGCCCGAACGCCGCGAATATAGGGGCCTGAAGAATTAGAGAATAGGGTTTTTGGGGGGGGGGGGGGGGGGGGGGGGGTGGGTTGTTATCGTATATTTCTTAAGGGACCCAAAGGGAATACTACAAGTAATGCTTCCTGCCCCTATATTGATTCAACCGAAGGGGTCTGGACGTACCTTCCACTTTGGCTTTCACGGCCGCGCGTGCACGATTATTCAGGGCCTTTGCTGTGGGAACCCTCGGCTGCGACGAGGCCTTGAAGGTTATGCTTAGGGTTTAGGGTTTAGGGTTTAGGGTTTAGGGTTTAGGGTTTAGGGTTTAGGGTTTAGGGTTTAGGGTTTAGGGTTTAGGGTTTAGGGTTTAGGGTTTAGGGTTTAGGTTTCGGGTTTCGGGTTTAGGGTTTCGGGTTTAGGGTTTAGGGTTTAGGGTCTAGGGTTTAGGGTTTAGGGCATCGCTTTTTGGTAACCTTTCATGGAGCCAGGGAGCAGGCAGTATTCGTGTGGAATGATCACCTGAGGGATCTCCTGCACCAGGGTCTTCTGAACGAATTGTTCAAATGCCTCGGTGCTTCCGTACCTTCGCTGGTGGAGGAGGTCCAAGGAAACAATGCTCTCAACATATCAACACCCGGCAAACCTCATACCGCGTGCCAAACCTTGATGCCGCAACCATGAACCTAGCCGAAGCCCAAGCACCAGGACTGGATGGCGGTATGCACGAAGATGGCATCAAACTCCTGCGAGAATGGCGGCCAAGTATGCTCTGTATCACTGTCCTTCCCAGAGGTCATGTTGCACGTGAGCCCTAAACCCGACTGCTTAATGTCTTCGACCCTCCCCACCCCGACAAAGGGAATTCAGGATACTTGCCCGCAGGACTCTATCCCAGTTGCCTACAAAGGTATTGTGGGATTTGAGCTTGCAGGGTTGTGTGGGACTCCGGGGGTCAACGCACCAGGCCGGCTCGGTCCATTGGGGTGAAGGAAACTGAGCAAAATGGTGACAAGTACTCCGCATCTGGTGCAGCTTGCACGCAAGTGTCGCAGTAGCTATCGCCAAATTGCAACTGCACTAGTCACTTAACCGCAACACGAACAAAAAAAGGCGAGAACAACAACTTTGAACTCTGTCTGAAAGCTGAGGGCTCCCAGCCCCAATGCTTTCCCTAAACCCTGAACCCTAAACCCTAAACCCTAAACCCTAAACCCTTAAGCCCTCAAACCTCTAACTCTCAACCCATCTTTGAACCATCAACCCCAAAGCCAGAACTCGCAGAACCAGCCTGTGGACCTCCTGGCCGGAGCAGCCCAAAAATGCCGAAAATGGTAGGTCAAAGGGGGAGGGGCTACCATGTATGCATTTGTGCTTATTATGATTACGACTATTCTTCTTCTTCTTACTCTATATATATATGATATGATATGTGTAGGGGTATTTACATATTGGATTTCCTTGATGTGGTAACCCCTCAACACCCTAGACTCCTCGGAACACTCCGCGGACGCGAGGCGGAAGTGCCTTAGGTCCTGGAAGAGCTGGTGCCTTGGTTTGGGGCTTGAGGGCTTTATAGGGTCTAGGGTTTTACGGTTACGTGTTTAAGGGCTGTTTGGGCTGTTTCAATGTCAAGCCCTTGACAAGTGGATGAGGGGGGGGGGGGGGGGTTGCAAGGAGTTTAAGCCTGGAGCTCTGTTTTGAACAGAAGAAGCAAAAGTGATGGCCAAGATGCTTGGCGCAAAAGAAGTGGCGAAGCCCATGGACGATGCCTTAGCTGGTGTCGCACAGCAAGGCCAAATAACAGATGTCGACAAATCGCCTTGTTAAATAATTGTTGAAGCCCTACTCAAAACAACTTGGAAAGCCTCCTCAAGCTTTATGTCCAAACCCTAAAAAGTAAAATGCAGACACATCGAACGCACCGACAATGTTCAAAGCTGATCGACCCCCTAACTTCTGAACTACGTACCCTAAACCCTAACCTCTAACCTCCGAACTCTAGACCCTAGACCATCAACCGAAGTTGCCCTCAGCCCCTCCTAAGCTCAAGAACGTCCGAGAGAAGCCCCCCCTAAGCGTCAGTACGGCAAACCGACATCCCCGAAAATTCCCCTTATCCCACCCCAAACTAAACCCCCTAAAAACCCCTCTAAAATTTGCCGAACTCCCACTTAACCCCCCCCCCCCCGCCCCAAAACAAACCCTCTAAACCCCCCGCAAGCCCCCTACACCAAAAATATCCGAGATACCGACCACTGGGAGCAGGGCCACAGCCAAAGGTAACAGTAAGCCCAGGAAGTAGCCGTAAGCAACCAATAGACCGCTCGCCTGGATGGCCCAATAGCCCCAAACGCCGCCTCAGCAGGTTTAGGGTTTAGGGTTTAGGGTGTAGGGTGTAGGGTGTAGGGTGTAGGGTTTAGGGTTTAGGGTTTAGGGTTTAGGGATTAGGGTGTAGGGTTTAGGGTTTAGGGTTTTGACTGCCAAATCCCTTGGCGTTCCCTTTTTTTCGGCCATGTGACGCATGCTCTCATGCCTGCATGCAGATTCTCCACAAACCAGGGGCTCAGCTGGCTTGTCCCAATGGCCTCTTTGAACCCTAAGTGTAGGGTTTAGGGCAGTTTAGGGTTTAAGGCCACCCACATCCCCACACAGCATGCAAATCCAGGTGGCCCCATAGTGCCATAGCCACCAGATGCACCGAGTGCTCGATGAAGATCTCAGGCACGGGAGGAGGGTTTAGGGTTTAGGGTTTAGGGTTTCGGGTTTAGGGTTTAGGGTTTAGGGTTTAGGGTTTAGGGTTTAGGGTTTAGGGTTTAGGGTTTAGGGTTTAGGGTTTAGGGTTTAGGGTTTAGGGTTTAGGGTTTAGGGTTTAGGGTTTAGGGTGTTAGGGTTTAGGGTTTAGGGTTTAGGGTTTAGGGTTTAGGGTTTAGGGTTTAGGGTTTAGGGTTTAGGGTTTAGGGTTTAGGGTTTAGGGTTTAGGGTTTAGGGTTTAGGGTTTAGGGTTTAGGGTTTAGGGTTTAGGGTCCCCAAACCTTTGAGCCTCTTCAAGTGCTTGAAGCCTTCAAAAACTCATAGAAATCCCAAGAAGCTCCGAAAAAATGTCATGTTTAGGGCAGCATACCTAAAGCCTAAACCCTAAACGTCGAGCCTGAAGCCCTCTACAGCTTTAACCCTTCGGGGTTCTACAGCTTTGGGTGCCCAAAGGGTTTCGGGTTTTAGGGTTTTAGTTTAGGATTTAGGGTTTAGGGTTTAAGGCTTAGGGTTTAGGATTTCGGGTTTAAGGTTTAGGGTTTAAGGTTTAGGGTTTAAGGTTTAGGGTTTGCGGCTCCCCCTCCACCCCAAGCTTCGGGCTCTGGATTGCATGCAGAGAAGCAGGTGCCATGGAAATCCGCCCAGTTGGGTTGGCTTTGCGGTAGGCCGCGAGTTCAAAAATACACCACCTAAGGTTCGCGGCCGCCAGCACGAAAGGGCATCATTCGGGATCTAGGGTTTTAGGGTTTAGGGTTAGGGTTTAGGGTTTAGGGTTTAGGGTTTAGGGTTTCTATAGGGTTTAGGGTTTAGGGGCTTCGGGGGTTCTACGAGGAGACTCATGGTTCGGTCATTGACGAAGATGGCAGGTACGGCTACCACAATCGCACTTTGTCTGGGCGTTGAAGCCCCCCCGGAATCCCACAGACCCCACCCTAAACCCTAAACCCTAAGCCCAAAACCCTACTAAACCCTAAACCCCAAGCCCTAAACCCTAAACCCTAAGCCCTCAGCCCTAAACCCCAAACCCCTAAGAGATCAGGAAAGCCTGAACCCTGATTCGCCCCCAGCCTATCCGAAAAAAACAACCTCTGCCCCAAAGCAATCTGATTCAATCACCCCACCCCAGAAGTGGGAGCCATCTTCCTCTTGTCGGACAGGCAATATAGAGGGCCTAGATGATTAGAATGGGGCTCTGGGGGTTCTAAGAGTTATCATTAAGATAGGGAACACAAGGAAATACTGTGTGTAATTTCCTCCGACCCCCTCTAGCTGCTAAGGATGCTTTGCCGCAGGATTCTGTTGGACACTGCAGGGATTCTCTAGTGCACCAGGCATACTTGGTGGGATTCTGAACCCTACACCCTACACCCTACACCCTACACCCTACACCCTACACCCTAAACCCTAAACCCTAAACCCTAAACACTAAACCCTAAACCCTAAACCCTAAACCCTAAACCCTAAACCCTAACTAAACCCTAAACCCTAAACCTAAACCCCTCTAGGCTTCTTGGGGGGTGTGCATTCCAGGGATGCTCGGATTGACTCGCTGCAGGATGATTCTCTGGGCGAGGAGCACAGGGGAGGAGAATGGCCGACTCAAAATCTGACAACCCTACAGGGTTTAGGGTTTAGGGTTTAGGGCTGAGGGCTTAGGGCTTAGGGCTTAGGGCTTAGGGTTTTAGGTTTCGGGTTTAGGGACCCACAATCCTAAGCCCTGAGCCCTAAACCCCTTAGCCCTGAAGCTTAACAACGAAGCCCGAATGACCCCAGAGTCCACCAAGAATCCTGAAAACCCTAAACCCTAACGCCTACACCCTACACCCTAACCCCTAAACCCTAAACCCTGAACCTTAAACCCTGGAGCTCTAGGTGCTTGAGATTTCGGGCTTCAGGTCCCTCAGCCCTAACTTGGCGCCCTAAACCACTTAGAGGGTGTATGGTGAAAGCTGCTCTTTTATGTGGCAGTCCTGTTCTGAGGGTGCTTGGGGTTTCCCCAGTTGCCAAAAAAAAAAGAAGCTGAGCTTCCCGCATCCTCGAAAGGTATGGAGGGGTCCAGAGGACGCGCAGCTCCTTCGCACACTTTAGGAAGCCTCCGATGCCGTAGATGCCACGCTGCTTCAGCTGGCTGTCCTGAGTTTGTGGTTTTAGGGTCTGTGGTTTGGGGTTCTGATGTGCGGCTTTGCAGAAGCTGCCGGGCTGTGCGAGCTTTCCGAGTTAGAATGTGGAATAAGCGGCACGAGTTGTTGGTAGTTTTTGTATTTTGATCGTTGGAATTTAACGCGAAACTTCCTTTATGATCCAATAGGAAGCCCCTCCATTTCTTCCATCGGTATTGTGCCAGCCACAAGCCCCAAAAGACCTCGATGAAGGCAAATCGTATGTGTCTCCCGACACGCCGACACGATTTCGACCGCGCAGTGCAGGGAGTTTGATGCCGCATCCTGTGTGCAGCCGAACTCACGCAGGGCAGGTTGTTCCATTCGTCCTGCACATTTTCTGATACGTATGTATGTATATATATATATATATATATATATATTTCACATATACATATATATGACCACACGCACACACACATATATATATATATATATATACATATACATTTACTTATATGCCGATCCGTGCGACCATAAGGAACTAACAGAGGAAATTAGACAGCTTCCTTTTTAAGCATAAACCTAGAGATCTTCCTATCGACTCCAAGAAACCACTCCTCAAAAAGAGATTTCGCTCAAAAGCTCCACCCTTTCTTGGAAGAATCTAAACTAGAGGGCATCAACAAAAGCTTGACCCGGTAAAGAGCAGAGGAAGTGGAGGCTACGCTTGTACAGCAAACACAGAGGAAACACGTTTCCATTACTGTAAGGTCCACGTATTGCTATGTCTTGAGACGGTGTGGAGATGTAGGATGGGCGCCCACCTTCCCGGTGAGAGGTTTAGAGTTCAGGGTTTAGGGTTTAAAAGGTTTGGGGCTCACGGCAGTGGAAGTAATTCGGCTTCCTGCACCTCAAAGCCTGGCAAGTCGAGCCCCAGTGCTAACAAGTCTCGCGACACCAAGAGGCCGAAACCTAAAAACCCCAAAGTCTCCGGGGGTTGGACTCTGTTGGACTTAAGCGCAGCTCGGCATCTTTCTGATGGATACAAGCAATATCCTCAGATGCACCGGGTCACAGCAGCCCCTCACACAAAGGAGCATCTGGTGTCTTGGGGTTCAGGGGCTTGGACGGTTCAGGGCTTCGGGACTTGGACTGCTTCCATCGAAAGACTGACACCGCTTTTCCAACTTGGGGTTTGGGGGGTTGAGGGTTTAGGGTATAGGGTTTAGGGTTTAGGGCTTAGGGCTTTAGGGTTCAGACCCCTAAAACCCCAATCCGAGGTAGGGGGCCGCCTTCATTCTGAGAGTTTTGGGGTTGATTCTTGCCATGGTGGGGTCTGCTTCACACATCTGCTTCAAAAGATGAACCCTGCCAAAACGTAGAGAGTGGGGCGGCTGATGTCCACGGCTTTTGGCAAGCGTCCACGAAACAGATGTCCCCGGAGTGGCATGCCCCAGTGCACGCCAGAGGGAAGTAAGGAGCGGACCTTACTCCAAGACCCTAAACCCCAAACCCTAAACCCTGAACCCTGAACCCTATACCCTAAACCCTGAACCCTAAACCCTAAACCCTAAACCCTGAACCTTCAACTCTAAACCCTCGACGCGTTGGCATGTAGGCTTCATGAACTGAGCTGTAGGGAACTTTAGGACACGAGTGCCCACGATGTTCAATGATTCAAGGGCACCTACTTTGCAAATACACGGGTTTTAGGGTTTAGAGTTTATTTCGGGTTTTATTAGGGCTTAGGGCTTCGGTTCATGTTTTGTTTTTTTGGGGGGTGGGGAATCTGCATACAGGTAGGTAGGGCGCCCGAGGTCGACCTACCTCCGGCTGAACACAACTCAGAAATCATCTTTGGGAACAGGCTTGGAAATCCATGTGCCTCGGAAAAAACACACAGCTCAGCGCAGCAATCTAAGAACATGCAAGCAGAAACTTCGAGAAGGCTCGTCTGGGTCAGGTTTTGTGGTGTTTCGCTGTGTCAATTGAATCTGCTGCAAAGCATGGCGCTGTGAAGCAGTACTTCGGTTTGTAGCTAGCATTCAGGCCTTCAGCGTTTTGGTGTTGAGGGTCGAGTTGGACAGTACACCTTTCGCACCGCGACATCTCGAAGAGATCAGGGCACATGCGACTCTCGACTACGTAGGCCCGACTCCACACCCGACAGGAGGCCTACAGGCGTAGGGCCTACTAACAGCAGAAGACAAACCCTAAACCCCAAACCCCAAACCCTAAACCCCAAACCCTTAACCCTAAACCCTAGCCCTAAACCGTAAACCCCAAAGCCTAAACCCTAAACGTTTAAACCTTGAAAAGGTAGGATCCGGGCAGGAACCCAGCCACATGGCCGAGACATGCACCGATCAGCATCCAGGGGGCCAGAGGACACAAGGCCTGGGTTTAGGGTTTAAGGGTTTAGGGTTTAAGGACATTAAGGGGTTTTCGGGTTTTGGGTTTAGGTTTTAGGGTCTACCAATGAATGGTTTGAGGAGGTCAAAGGTGTTTAAGGACCTTACGGGCTTAAGCGTTTCAGGGTTTCAGGCCGAAGGTCAAGAGTCTCAGTTTGTGCAGTGGGTCGCTTGGTGCTTCTAAGCCATTGAGCTTGTCTCTCGGTGAGTTCTGAGGCGCAGAATTCAGATTCTGCCGGGGCGTTGAGGGCTTTCCGGCATCAACAACCTGTTTAGGGTTTAGAGTTTAGGGTTAGGGTTTAGGGTTTAGGGTTTAGGGTTTAGGGCTTAGGGCTTAGGGCTTAGGGCTTAGGGCTTAGGGCTTAGGGCTTAGGGCTTAGGGCTTAGGGCTTAGGGCTTAGGGCTTAGGGTTTAGGAATTTTGGCTTGGCTCAGGGTTAGCCGAGCTTCTGCCTTGGGATCCTAGGTCTCAGGCTTGGGATGCTAGGTCTCGACATCGGGACATGAGGCTTTGCGGCTTTGAATGTCGGGTGGCGTTTGGGGCTTGGGCCCTCGGGATTTGGAGTTTCGGACTGAGGTGGCTTGGAGGCCAAGCCTCCTAGAAGTTGCGAACCCATGGGTCGGAGAGTGCACCCCTGAAAACCCTGAAGCGCCCTGAACCCCAAACCCTAAATCCCAGTTTGGGTTTAGGGTTTAAGGCTTAGGGTTTAGAGGTGTAGGGTGGAGGGTTTAGGGAATAGGGTTTTGGATTTATCACGGTGCAGGGGAGACACAGCGCAAGGAAGGTGCGCTTCTAACCTTCACCCCCCCGAACCCTCTAGACCTGAGACGCCGAAAACCCAAGTCCGAAGCTCTAAGACCCTCAGAGTGCCGGAGACCCGGCCTCGAATCCCATTACATACGCCTGGAGCACGAAGGGCATGACGATGCAGTCGGGACAGGCAAGGTAGATCCTAAGCAGGCAACAGCAGTTGCGTGGTCCCCGACAGCCTGCACCTCTAGAATCCCCTGTCATTGACAGGGGATCCTAGAGGGTCGAGGATGCGGGGACGCCACGAGTACGAGGGATGGTGTCCAATCTCATCCAGCTCATGTCTGTACTGTCGCTGACGCAGCCAAGGCATGAACCGCCATGCCCCCCTTCAAGCTAGTTGAGCTGGAAGTGGGATTGCACTCGTGCCGTGATCCCGCTACAGCTATCAGCCAAGACAGAGCTCTCTCTCTCTCTCCCCCTCCCTCCCTCTCTCACTCACAGACAGGACAAGCCCGAAACCCTAAAGGCCCTAACCCTGAACCCTGAACCCTAAACCCTAAACCCTGAACCCTCAACCCTAATAGGCCCTAAACCCCTATGCAGAACCCAGGTGCGCCATTGTCAGCGACGCCACCGCCTGTACGGATACAGGCAAGGAGCTGCTGAACCCACAACCCCTGGATCCCTCAACCTTGAAGCCTCAAGGGTTTAAAGAGGTTCAAGCGTTTAAGGTTTGGGGTTTAGGGTTTAGGGTTTAGGGTTTAGCGTTTAGGGTTTAGGGTTTAGGGTTTAGGGTTTAGGGTTTAGGGTTTAGGGTTTAGGGCTTCTGCCCCTACACTGTCGCCATGCGCTCATGGCGGTGCTTGGGGGGCAGTTTTTGAACCCGCCACCATCCAGGAGAGCAAGGCAAAACGCCACCCAGAGCTCACCAGCAGCGCCAGCATTTTGGGAAGCCCGCCCGTCTTCCTCGCTTCACGGGTTGAGGGTTGAGGGTTGAGGGTTGAGGGTTGAGGGTTGAGGGTTGAGGGTTGAGGGTTGAGGGTTGAGGGTTGAGGGTTGAGGGTTGAGGGTTGAGGGTGAGGGTTTAGGGTTTAGGGTTTAGGGTTTACGGTTTAGGGTTTAGGGTTTAGGGTTTAGGGTTTAGGGTTTAATTGGCGTGCTGGGGTTTAGGGCTTTCAGATGAAAGTTCAGAGGCTTTCTTCGGAGCCTGAAGAGTTTAGCCTACAGTTCCTGCTCTGGCTGTAGCTGAACTCAAAATCATGAAGGGCGAGCAGGGAGTGGCGTTTTCTTGGAACACACAATGGTCCGCTCCGCCCGAACCCTAAACCTCAATTCACCGCAACAGTCGTGCAGATGTGCGAACCACGCTTTTGCCTCCAGGCCGCGGGAAATCCTACAACTAAAAGATAAACCTGATTCAAGAATGTAGTCGTATACAGAAGAGTACACTGTCGTCGACGCTTCTCCCACCCCGGATCTTCGATGAGTTTGATTGTTTGCAGTAGCTGCATGCTGCCACTACCCCACTCTTGCAATATGCAGAGGTGGTCCAACGCTAGCTTCATGCCGAACTCCGCCATGACCTAAACCTCAACCCCGGATCGTTTTCGAAGGTACGCATGAGAGAACGCTGCAATTACAGCTTTCTGGGTATATCATCTGGCAGACGGGTGGTGTCAGGGCTTTGGGCCTTTCAGGGTTGAGGGTTGCGAGTTGATGGTTCAGGGTCTGGGGTTGGGATGTTCCCCCCTACACGAACAGTCCCTCATCGGGATTATAGTATCCCCTATTACAATCCCGACTAAGGACTGTGTATTAAGGGGGAGCATCCCAAGTTTGGGGTGTAGTGTACCCCTCCTACTTAGTCCTACTTAAACCCCTTAGACCCCTTAAACGCCTTAAGCGCCTTAAACCCCTTAAACACCTTAAACACCTTAAACACCTTAAACCCCTTAAACCCCTTAAACACCTTAAACCCCTTAAACCCCTCAAACCCCTTAAACAACTTAAAATCCCCTTCAACCCCTCAAACCCTAAAGGCCCTAAACCCCTAAACCCTAAAACCCCTAAACCCTAAACCCTAAACCCCTTAACCCCAAACCCCTAAACCCCCAAAAAAATGGAAAGCAGGTGTAGGCTCCAGGTGTGCGAGATGAAGATGTCCAAGGACTTCACCGGTCCAGACATGCGCTGGAGCCTCTGCCAATCCGACTCCCTGATGTCCTGCAAATCATTTGGGCATTCTTCCCCTGGCTCTTCGTAGGGGCATGAGGGAATTAGGTCCCTATCTATATATATATATACATATATATATATATGTATATGTATATATGTATATTTTTTGTTTTCCCTTTAAGGGATTTCATAGGGTACCTCAGTCCCTCATCCCTTACTAAGAACCAGGCATTTGATTTTTTTTTTTTTTGGGGGGGGGGGGGCCTGCGCTCGGAAGCTGTCTTAGCGTGATGGGTCCTAGGGAAAATCTAAACCCGAAACCCTCAATCCACCACAGGCAAGGTCATGAAAATCGGAGCCTCCAGGCGATTCTGGCTAGGAACTACTTGCTGCAGCACCTCGCGCCCTCAACAGGATGTGAAACCTGTCCCTCACACTCCAAGCTCAAAACCCAGCCTAAACGCCCGAAACAGACCTCAAAAAGCCCCAAAACGAACCCGAACCCACAAATCATGCCCCAGTAGACCACTTTAAGCCCTAAGCCCCAAACCCCAAACCCTAAACCCTTAACCTAGAACCCTAATCCCAAAACGACCCGACTGGGGCTCACCGGAAACACCGGGTCGTGACTTCTACATCTCAGGGGCCGTTTCGATCAACCTCCCCAGGAGGGGCTACTAGGCCCTATAGTCTCCGCTAGGGTTTAGGGTTTGGGGTTCAAGGTTCCGGGTTCGGATTCCCGGGTATGATGGACCATCCAAGCCAGCACACACCCCCAGGCCAAGATTCCTTCAAGCATGTCAACACATACGGCCCCAGATTCAGGGACTCTCAGGCGTACCCTAAACTTGGTAGCCCAGGAAAAAAAAGGTGTTGTAACAAGGGCACCCTTCTTTGGGTCGGTTACTTTATAGGGAACCTTGAGAAAACACGGCGCAGGGGTCTTGGAGGTGCAGGGCTTGTGGGTTTATGAGGTTCAGGCTTCAGGGCTTAGGGTGGTCAATGCGCTAGAGCTACCCAACAATCCTCACCCCTTCTTTGTGAGACAAGATGTTGCCTGGAGACCCCTTGAGCCTAACACCTCTCAGATCTCCTGTGGAGAAAGCCGCCACATCCACCCGAGTCCCTTCAGAGTAGATCGAAGAGAGAGTCCCTGCAGCAACTCCTCTCAGGCAGACCAAGAGCTAACATTGTGCGATGTGCTGGGGTGTTGGGTGATTTGCGGCTCAGCTATCCTGCATTTAACGCTTTCTTGAGGTGATGTGGGTCAAGGGCGTCGAGCTCTTGGAGGATTGGGGATCCGCACCCTGGAAGTCCGACCTAGTCCCCAAGTATGCTCATATTCGGCAGAAAGATGACTGTTCACCAAAGATGTGATAAGACGTGTGGCCAAGCTACCTCGGCTGTCAAGACTCTCACTGGTTGAGCAGCTAACGATACCGATGCCTCAGAGCAATCGCGTTTGGACCATGAGCCCTGCAACCTACACCCACGCTGCATAGACTCAAGGGTGTCTTGTCTCCACCGAAAAACCTTTGAGGACATGGCTTTCGGGGTCACCTCGGGTGTGCATGTTGAACAGGGCTTGGAAGTTTTGTGATCGACCTCAGCGACGCAGCAAGACCTACAGCGTACGCTGTGTTCCCTACAACTCCTAAACCCTCAGCCCTAAACCGCTACCACCCTGCATGCCTGCGCCCTGCCCGTTCTTGACCCCCCCCCGCCCCCCGAGGATATCCCCCCTCCTATGGTATATCACCCCCCCCTTCCCCCCAACCGTAAACCTAGAACCGAAACGCGTGGAGTCTAAGGGCCCTTTGAGTCGCTCCTGATCGACCTCGAAGCTTTCGCCCTTCTGCAGGTGCTGGGAAATACCTCAGGCTGTGGGGGTTAGGGTTTCAGGCCCCAGGCAGGGCTTCGAGGTTTAGCTTAGGGCTCAGGGTTGCAGGAGCCAGTAGGTTTCATAACGGGAAGATGTGGGTAACTACTTAGCTCCCCTCGGTTACGCAAGCCTCCTAGCGCCTCTACTGTACATACCCTAAACCTAAACTCCAACCCCGTGACGGAACGCAACACGCCAGTCCCAAACCAGGCTTTCAACTATCCCACTACGGAAAGCCCCGAACAACCTGAAACCTTCGCACCCTCCAGACTTGATCTCAGCGCCAAAGATGAAACCCTACCTGATGGTCTGGGAATCCGCCTAACCTTTCTATCAAAAATGAGGCAAGCTGCTCAGACGCATCTTACGCCGGTGCGGGCCGTCCAAGATGGGGGTCAAGACGGAAGTCATACTCCTAGGTAGTCCAGCAACCATATTCTAATAAGGGCACCCTTTTTTTGGGGTTGGTCATTTTTTTAAGGGAACCCATATAACTAAAAAAAAAAGGGGTACCACTGGCCTACCAAGACTCTGAGGGCTGACTTCATGCGTCACATTGATGCCAGAGAGGCAGAGGCTGGTGCTGCCAGCGATTTCCCCCAAGTACTCGTGGCTGGAGAGCCTCTCCTTAGTAGCCCAGTAACCATATTATAATAAGGGGACCCTTTTTTGGTTGGTTACTTTATAAGGGAACCCATAAACCAAAAAAAGGGTAAAGGGTACCACTGGGCTACCAAGTCTCACTCGGGGTCGACCCTTCATCGTCGCGTCCTTCAGGTCGCCATGCTTGAGGTTTGGGCCTTTTTCAGGAGCCCAAGATTTGCCCCTAAGCCCGAAAGCCTCAACCCGGAACCCCTAAACCCTAAACCCTAAACCCTAAACCCTAAACCCTAAACCCTAAACCCTAAACCCTAAACCCTAAACCCTAAACCCTAAACCCTAAACCCCCCCCCCCGCCCATGAACAGAAGGTCCTTCCATCATCGCAAGAGACGAAGACGTCACATGAAACTCATCTTGCCTGTAGGGACTCCAATACACCTCAATTAAGGAATATTCCTTAAAATATAACAGGGTTCCTTCTATGGTTTAAGGAATATTCCTTAAAAAATATAGGAGGTTTCCTGAGATGGTTTGAGGAATATTCCTGAATTTAAGGGGTATTGGAGTCTCTGGACTGCAGGGAGCCGAGGATCCCCGCAGCTTCATGCAGCGCCCGAGCACCCTGCAACCCTTGATCTCCCCCGGCCTGGGCAGCCCACCTAGACTTGAAGCCCTCTACTGCAAACCCTGAAGCCTACATCCTGGACGCTAAACCCTAAACCCCAAACCCCCTAAACCCTAAACCCCCTAAACCCTAAACCCTAAAACCTAAATCCTAAACCCTAAACCCTAAACCCTAAACCCTAAACCCTAACAGGCTTCTGCTGGGCTTGAGCTCGGTGGTCCACCTTGGCCCCTCTTCCGCTGCGCAGGCGCACACGCACCATGGGTCAGGTTTCATTGTGAGGAAATGCGCAGTGGGAGCCTCTTTGAGGCAAAAAAGTCTGCGGCGTAGGGCTTTCGGGTCGAGGATTTAGGGGTTTAGGGTTTAGTGTTGGGGGTCGAGGGTTTCAGGCGGCGGGCTCAGGGTTCAGGGTCGGTTGGGGATTTCAGGCAGGCAGAGTATAGAGCTCGGGCTGTGATGATTTGGGGTGTACGACAGCGTTCATGCCCGGGATTATGCTTAGAGTGGTACAAACGGGGGCAACAGCCTCTTCCTCCCATACTGCGAGGCTCGACCCCAAGACGCATTGGAAAAACACAATGGTTTAGGTTTTGTTTTTGGGGTTTAGGGTTCAGGGTTTAGGGTTTGGGGTTTAAGGTTTCGGGTTTCGGGTTTAGGGTGGCAGATCAAGAAAGAAAGAGAAAGCATAACCCAACTTCACGTATGAGCCCTCAACAAACAACTCCAGGCCTTAACTCAGTCTCGGGGACCTCCCCAGCCCTAAGCCGTAAACCCTCTTAGGGCTGGGGCTTGATGCTTAGGGTCTACTAGAGCTTAGTGACTCAGCCCGGTTCCTTTCTTGATCTCGGCGTAGCAACGCCCGACGCCCGACCTCCGCGGACAACCCACGCACTGGAACTTCGAACCGTGAGGCCCGGCCACAACACAAACATTGCCCCACCCCAAAACCAAATATAAAACCCACACCCGCGCGTGGCGATCCTCGACGTCGCCCAAGAAGCAAAACCCTAAAGCCTCAAACCCTGAGCACTGCACACGGGTGTCATGTCGGGGTAGGAGTAATTTCTAGTATTCTTCCCTCATGGTCCCTTTTGTTATATATACTATCATAACCCACAAACCCCTACTCTAATTATTAACCCTAGTAGTAGGGTCTAGCTGCCCCTTATCATGCAGCCCTCATTGATGATTGCGGAGGGGTCCTTTGCGGGTTTAGGGTTTAGGGTTTAGGGTTTAGGGTTTGGAGGGTAGAGTTCAGGGTTCAGGGTTTAGGGTTTGGAGGGTGGAGGGTGGAGGGTGGAGGGTGGAGGGTGGAGGGTGGAGGGTTTAGGGTTTAGGGTTTAGGGTTTAGGGTTTAGGGTTTCGGGTTTAGGGTTTAGGGTTCAGGGTTCAGGGTTTAGGGCTTGCGAGGTGCTGAACTTCAGCTGTAGGGGCATCAAGAGCCCGAAGTAAGCCCTAAAAGCCCCAACCCTGAGCCCACAACCCCAACACCTCAACCCCACACCCCGAACCCAAACCCAAACTGAATCTAAGGGTTTTCCAAGCCGCGCAACCCATTTAACACGACATGCCACAAAGTGTTCAGGATGAAGTGTTGAGGATTTAAGTTTCAGGGTCTAGTGTTTAAGGCCAGTGCAAATCCTGGGGTTTAGTGGGCCGCCACTCCCCGAAAACCCGAAGATAACCTCCAGAGTATCTGTGTAGGGTTCAGGGTTGGGGCCGGGTTTGGGGGGTTCAGGGGTTTGGGGTTCAAGGCTTAGGGGTTAAAGGTGAGATGTGCCGCGTAGCCCTAAACCCTAAACCCTAAACCCCACCCCTAAACCCTAAACCTCAAACCAATAAACCCTAAACCCCAAACCCGTAAACCCTAAACCCCAAACACATAAACCCATAAACCCTAAACCCTAAACCCCCTAAACCCCCTAAACCCTAAACCCCCAAACCCTAAAGCCTAAACCCTACACGCCAAACCCCTAAACCCTAAACCCCAAACCCCCAAACCCCTAAACCCATAAACCCTAAGCCCCCAAAACTCTAAACCCCAAACCCTAAACCCTAAACCCTAAACCCCCTAAACCCTAAACCCTAAAGCCCGTAAACCCTAAACCCTAAACCCCCAAATCCCAAAAAAACCGAGCTGCCTCTTCCCCGGCTTCCCCAGCTCCTCCAGGCGCCCTTTGCGCACCAGGGCGAGGCTTGAGTTGCCGTCCAAGGTTTGGCGGGTTCAGGGTTTAGGGTTTAGGGTTTAGGGTTTAGGGTTTAGGGCTTAGGGCTTAGGGTTTAGGGTTCAGGGTTTGGTCTAGGGGTTCGTGCTTGGAAAATTTTAGGGGTTAGGTTTTAGAGTTGGAGGGTTTAGGGTTTGGAGGGATTGGAGGGTTTAGGGTTTCCGGCTTAGAGTTTAGGAAGGTTTGGGGCGTTAGAGCTTGATTAGGGCTGAGGCTGGAAACTTACCTTGGGGATGTTCGACTTATTTACTTTGGCCGCGGCGGTCTTCTGGCTCACCCCGCGTTTACTACAATGCGCAGATCAATCGCAACTTGTCGCAGTGGCAGCGCTGCGAAGCGGCTGAGATGCAACGATGACGCGCACTGGCAGCAGTGACGATATTCATAATTATTCATATGATCTAGCATTCTCTTCATCCACGGCATCCGTGAAGATCGTCGTCAACAGCAATGACCGGGGCCAGAGGACTACAACCGCAAGCTCAACAAGGACAGCTTGGATAGACCATGTTTCCTTAAGTTAACGGGCGGAGGGGAGTGGAGTAAGGGTTTGGGATTCTGAGGCAGTTTTTTGGCGGCAGAAGCCTGCAAGCAACCCAACTGACCCACAATGTCTTCGGGCTTAGGGTCTAGGGTTTAGGGTTTAGGGTTTCGAATACCCCTCGGCTCGCATTTCGGCTGTGCATCTGTTCTTCGGCTGCTTGGCGTTGGCTGACGGGCTTGGGCCTTTTCCACGCGCAGGTCGCCGTCTGCTATAGGGGTCGGAAGAATTTCTAATATTATTCCCTTATGGTCTCTTTGTAATTAAACAATAGATATTCCCCTCAAAACCCTATTGAAATTATTAAGGTGCCTATATTCGCGATTGACCAGCTCCGAGACCTTGCTTGCTTCACAGGACAGCACCACTGAGCCCTGCACTCCTGCACAGAAACTACTCCGAGCTCCCGGGTGGAAAACAACGAGTCAACAAAGGTCAAAGGTTACCCAGTGGGTTGATAAGAAACATGAAGTGCAACCTTTGCCCTGGAAGCTGAAACCCTGAAAATCCAAGCCTTAAACCAAACCAACCCTCCTAAACCCTAAACCCCTAAACCCTAAACCCCTAAACCCCAAACCCCTAAAACCCCTAAACCCCCAAACCCTCGGCACCTAACCCCCAAACCCCCCAAAAGACCCGAACCCCCGCCTTCCAAATAGGAGCAGAGGGAGGCCATGGAATTGTACACCTCCACTTGGAGGTTCGTGGTACTTCTGAACCGATTCTAACTGCACTCATAAACCCATATTAGGCCACTTCAGGGGCTTATAAGTGGGGCCAAAAAAGGTACAGCTATGATTGGTGAATAAGTACCATGAACCTCCAAGTACCAGAGAAAGGCTTGCGCTTCCCTTAACAAGCACCGCGCGTGATTCTCTAAAGCCGGAACCCGGGGGCTGATGGGGGGCTTCGGGATTGTAGGGTTTAGGGTTTAGGGTTGAGGGTTTAGGGTTTGGGGTTTGGGGTTTGGGGTTTAGGGTTTGGGGTTTAGGGTTTAGGGTTTAGGGTTTAGACTTTGGGACTTAGGGTGTAGGGTTTAGGGTGGTTTAGGGCGGGCGTCGTGACTTCGCAAGCCTGCGAGAACCCAGCCTCTGATCCCTCCCGAAACTCCGTGTATCCAAAACGGCAAAGTGCACTATCCTTCACGGCTTGGGGAGTCTCAGGCATGGCTAGAGAATGAAGGGTCCCTGAAGGACCAGCCCTCGAAGAAGCTTATGGCTATATACAGCAGCAGCAACCCAACTTCTCGCCTCAGCTAGAACTACGCACTACTACCCAGGAACCTCCAAGAAAGCACAGACCCTAGAGGTGAGATCTCAGAGGTTCAGAAGATCCCCACCCTAAACCTCTACGCGTAGTTACATGGTCAATTGATATGCGCCCTTAAAAGGGGGGCTCCTTATATACCCCCTTTTTTCCCTATACAAATGAAGGGCCCATACTTCAGAACCCTTTAAAGGAGGTAAGGCACCATATTAAGGGCCCATGTAACTACCCTTAAAAAACCCGAAGCCCAAAACCCCAAGCCCCTAAACCCCCTGGTAGCCCTGGTAGCCCAGTAACCATATTGCAAGAAGGGCACCCTGTTTGCGGTTGGTTTCTTGACACTGAAGGGAACTTGAACCAAAAAAAAGGAGAAGGATACCCTAAGCCCTATACCCTATACCCTACACCCTAAACCCTAAACCCTAAAACCTCAACCCTCAACCCTAAACCCTAAACCCTAAACCCTCAACCAACAGGTCTAAGGCCAGCACGTAGAGATCTTCCAGCGGCACGGGAGCTCCCTGCAAGATGTTGGCGGAGAGCAGCTCTGCGAGGGGCACGGCACCTCAGCTCCAGGGTTTAGGGTTTAGGGTTTAGGGTTTAGGGTTTAGGGTTTCGGGTTTCGGGTTTCGGGTTTAGGGTTTAGGGTTTAGGGTTTCGGGTTTAGGGTTTAGGATTTAGGGTTTCGGGTTTAGGGTTTCGGGTTTAGGGTTTAGGGTTTAGGGTTTAGGGTCTAGGGTTTAGGGTTTAGGGTTTGCTGCTCAGAATGTAGAATCCTTGGGTCCCCTCATCTATAAAACCCCTCGTTGCACCCGGACTTTTCAGGGTTTGGGATTTAGATGCTAGGTTTCGGGAAGTTCACGGTTTAGGGTTTGGGGGTTCACGGTTTAGGGGCTTAGGGGGGCATAGGTTAGGGCTCAGGGGAGCGGGGTTTACGACTGAGGGCTTGGGGGGAGGGGGGTGCCAGTTGAGGGCTTAGGTTCAGGGATTTGGGTGATTAGGGTTTAGCTGTCGGCTTTGGGATTCCGAGGTTCGGGTTAGTGTGAGATGTCTGTAGATCTTCAGCAAATAAGACGTATAATCCCGCAAAGTAATCCCTGATAGTCCCTTAACAGCTAGTCTTCGCGCTCTTCTCAGACAAGGTAGCGAAATGTCTACAGCTAAAGCATACTGCATACGGCAATACTGTAGGGGCGTGCTTGCCGCAGGATCCACAAGCTGTGCTCAAGTCGCCGGAAAGCTCTGTCGCAACCTGTTGCGGGTCGTTGTCTTCGCTCTCTTCGCTCTTCCCCGCCTCAATCTTCAAAACTGTCACATTCTTGTGTGGAAACTTCCTAACTCGCTATCATCCTGTAGTCCTTTTGTCAGCACAGCGAAAACTTCTCCCTTACTTTCATCGTTTCTTGGCTCTGCTCTTGATAACAGACACGATCACACTGCTGCCCACAACGATCGCTTCGGGCGTGCGTTCGGCGCCCTCTGTAGCCGGTGGCATCTGCACAGGAGCACTCTCCCTTGCACTGTTTCTTAAGCGAAGGAAGCTGCGTAGACGCTGCACCTCGCGCCTACGCCGCCTGATCGGAAGAAACCACTATCTGTCCAACATCCAGAACGCAAGCAACACTACGGTAAGCCTTGTGTTTAAGGTTTAAAGCTTAGGGAGTAGGGGTCCCCCTGTTTAAGGAAACACCTATCTTGAAACTGAACCAGCTTGAAATCCCCAACCTCCCCCCACCCCACCCTCAAATAAAGAAGGGAAAGCTCTACACTTAAACCCTAAAGCCTAACCCAGGCATTCTGGGCAAAACACTTACAGAGTCGATGCCCAGCGCCGTCAATTCTGCGGTCTCCTCCTGATAGGCATCAGCTTGTGAGAACCGGTTTAGGGTTTAGGGTTTAAGGTTTAGGGCCTAGGGTTTAGGGTTTAGGGTTTAGGGCTTCATAGGGAAGAGGGGGTTCTGGCTTAAGCTAAATTCTGACCAGGGCTTGGGTCTGGGCGTAGGCTTCGGAGGCTCAGTGCTTGGGGTTGAGGTTCCGCAGGACTTCAAGTGGCAACAATCTACGAAGCGATGTCTTTGGGTCTTGCTGCTTAGCATCATGTGAGGGGCACTCTGGCATGGTGATCATCAGGGATCTTAGGCTTGGTAGCCCAACAACCATACCACAAAAAGGGCACTTTTTGTTTGGGTTGGCTTACTTTGTAAGGGATCCTTGAACCCACGCAAGGGCACAAAAGGGTACCACTCTGGGCTACCAAGCGGGTATGTCCCAAAGGAGTACCCCGAATATACCCCAAATACTATGGAAGCCCCAAAAGCGCACCACATGGCTGCCAAGTAGATTCCGGGTTCCCCAATATAGACCCCCAAAAATAGGATCCCCTTATAATATCAACCCCAACAAGGCTCCCCCAATATCCCTAAATCCTAAACCCTAAACCCTAAACCCCAAACCCCAAACAGTAAGTTGTGGGTCCCCCCAACCTCCACCGCCACGCCCGTGGCGCGCTCCACGAGCTCGGCAACCATCTGCCGAAGCGACCCGGGCGCCTTCAAAGCGGGCTATGCTAAACCCTAAACCCTAAACCCTAAACCCTAAACCCTAAACCCTAAACCCTAAACCCTAAACCCTAAACCCTAAACCCTAAACCCTAAACCCTAAACCCTAAACCCTAAACCCTAAACCCTAAAACCCTAAACCCTAAACCCTAAACCCTAAACCCTAAACCCTAAACCCTAAACCCTAAACCCTAAACCCTAAACCCTAAACCCTAAACCCTAAACCCTAAACCCTAAACCCTAAACCCTAAACCCTAAACCCTAAACTAAACCCTAAACCTCTGCTCAGAAAGCTGCTGAGGGGCAAGTAGCATCGCTGGGAATCTGCCGGGCTTCGGCCCTTAAACACCTAAACCCTAAGTTAAACCCCAAGCTGAAGCGTGTAGCCCGCCTCCGTCACTACGCTGTTGCTCTTGCCGCTGGCATCAGCAAGCGCAGGGGGCGGCGAACCTGTAGCGATCCCATGGGTTTAGGGCTTCAGGTTTAGGAGACCCAAGAGTAACCTAGGAATAGGCCCCCTTTTGGGCTTTAAAGGGGCTCATTTGGAAACCTACGCCCTGACAAAAAGGGAATCACCCTGGACCGGCTCTGAGGGGTTTAGGGCTGAGGGTTCAGCATCTCAAGTCCAAGCATGCAGTATTCAAGCAGGTCGTCATGTGACGGAGAAATACCCACCCGCCCATTGGGCCCCACACTTTCAGAAATGAGTTTACTCTACCTATTGTTCCTCACAGCCTGTCTTCCAAATTACCTTATCTTCAGACAATTCTGTCGTCGTTTGTCGGGCCCTGGTTCCAAAGCGTTTCAAGCGACCATGGACCTAAACCCTAGTCGTCCGGAATGCTGAAGCCCAAGCTTCAGATCGGGTTGTCCCGAGGCCAGTAGCCCGAAACCCCAGAGAGTTTCGGAATGGCAGAATCAAAAAATGAAAAATTGTAAGAATGAAATCATGCAATATTGTAAGACTGTAAGAATGCAATACTGTAGTAAAGTAAGAATGTAATAATGTACTGATGTAGCAATGTAAGAATGTAATGATGCAAGAATGCAATAATGCGACAATGCATTCATGTAAAAATGCAAGTACTGCAATAATGTAATTGTGCAATACTGTGATAAAGTGGTAAGGTAATCATGTAATCATGTAATCATGTAATCATGTAATCATGTAATCATGTAATCATGTAATCATGTAATCATGTAATCATGTAATCATGTAATCATGTAATCATGTAATCATGTAATCATGTAGTCATGTAGTCATGTAGTCATGTAATCATGTAATCATGTAATCATGTAATCATGTAATCATGTAATCATGTAATCATGTAGTCATGTAATCATGTAATCATGTAATCATGTAATCATGTAATCATGTAATCATGTAATCATGTAATCATGTAATCATGTAATCATGTAATCATGTAATCATGTAATCATGTAATCATGTAATCATGTAATCATGTAATCATGTAATCATGTCAATCATGTAATCATGTAATCATGTAATCATGTAATCATGTAATCATGTAATCATGTAATCATGTAATCATGTAATCATGTAATCATGTAATCATGTAATCATGTAATCATGTAATCATGTAATCATGTAATCATGTAATCATGTAATCATGTAATCATGTAATCATGTAATCATGTAATCATGTAATCATGTAATCATGCAATCATGTAATGATGTATTAAACGGGATAATGATGCAACAATACCCTCGGGTTTCTAAGACCCCCCTCTTTGGAAGACTTTCCCGCGCCTGCTAGCAGCTTCTGCCGATCGACTTTCCCACTCGGCAGCAGCGGCATGTCTTCCTGCAAGGCTTTGGCTCCCAACCCTGCACACAAGGCCCTCAACCCTGAAACCCCAGAATCCTCTAAAATCGGGGGGCCAGGAACAGAACCATTTCGCCTCTCTGGGTCGTGGGGCATGGGCCATATTGAGGGTGGATTTTAGGGCTTCAAGCTCCAAAGCTGGGGCCATGGATGCTGCAGCGGGACCACGTGGGAGGCGCTTTTTGGATGAGTTTAAGGCTCAGCAACCGACACTTTCCTCCGCTTCTGCTCACACGCATCGGACTTGCAGAGCCAGCGGGGCGCAAGACCTGTATGCCCACGACAGCCTTACCATGAGCTACGCTATCCAGCCGGGGCGCTGTTGAATTTAAGCTTCTGAGCACTGCGAGGCCAACACATCGGCAGCTCATAGCCTCTTCTTCGACTCTTCTTATTTCTTAGACAAGCCCTCTGTCCAGGATCCCGAGCCGGCTCGGAATGGCGTGGCTGGGCAGCTCCTGAACGGCTTCAGGTTCTGGGCTTCAGCCGTTGCCTCGCCTCCCCCCAACTACAACACAGGGCAAGAGGCTGTAACGCCTCCTGTTTCTAATACCGTCCGGGATGGGGCTGTAAGGTCAAACTACTTGTTTTTCCTACAAGATATGGAAAACCATAATCTGCAATCTGCAGCTCAAGACGTTGACAAGGACGACACCCAACCCCAAGCTCGAAGCCCTCAACCGTAAGCCCCTGGACCTAAACCCTAACCCGGACGTAGGGTCTCGGGCAGGTGTGCCGGAAAGTTTAAGCTTTACAGTCTTTACACCACCCCAAACTGTTCGTTGTACTTCGAACATCCTCACCCTGCGGGCAAAGAATTTACGAGCTCACTCTCGGGTTGGGCACTCCAGGGACACTGGTCATGGGCGAGGTAAAAACAAGCAGAACAAGCAACAATCATGAATGATCATCATCAACAGGAAACAGGCAACACCCGCAGCAGTCACAAGAACAACAACAGGAACAACAATCATCAAAGTTGAACGCCGGAAATGATAAACGATACGTGATCAGCAAGATGTCGGAAGTGGTAACTGGCAACTGGTAAACGACAATGACAGCGATGATGGCTTCTTTTGTGATCATGATGCAATGACGCCAATGATGGCGGGTAAACGGTAGTGTAGTGACAATGCTGACTCTGATGATCACAATGAGGGACGAAGAATGAGGGGGATGATCAGCCTGAGAATAACAAATACTAGACCCCAGAGCAACCTAGGAATGAAAGCGCGCCTTTTTTGGTTTGAAGAGGCTTATAAGGGAACCCAAACGCTAAGAAAGGGAATAAGGTAGTAGCCCTAAACACTAAACCCTAACCCCGAACCCCTAAACCCCAAATAACCCTAAACCCTAAACCCTAAACCCTAAACCCAAGTTCAACCCTAACCCTAAATAATCCAAAACCCTACTTGTAAAACAGAGGAATCAAGGCCTACTCTGGGTCCTAGAAAATCAACGAAACACCCCCTTCCCGCCTCGGCACAGCTACGCCGGAGGCTGCTCCGCAGAGCAGACTCCCCGCCTTGTTGGGCTCAGGATTCTTTTGGGGTTTAGGATTCAGGGTTTAGGGAAAAGGGTTTGGAGTTTAGGGTTTAGGAAATCCTATAACTTCCAAACCCTACACCCTAAACCCTGAGACTCCCAGCCAGGCCTGCCACTGCGCTGGTCGTGGTGACAAACGCCCACAGCTCGGGGGAGTCGCCTCAAGGAAAGTTGAGGGCTTTTTAGGGTTGAGGGTATAGGATTTGAGGCTTAGGGTGTGGAAGTTATAGGGTTTCTGTTACAAGGCTTAGGGTTTATGTAGGGTTTAGGGCTTAGGTGTTTATGGGTTCTCAAAACATTGAAATGTTAAATAATTCGGTCTATGAATTCTGAGGTTCATGGCTCAGGGTTATAGGGAGGGCTTGGCACTGCAGGGTTTGGAATTTTGGGCTTCGTGGCTTGGGGCACGAGGGCTTGAGAACTTTACTGTTTAAGGCGTAAAAGGTTCTGCGTTTATGGCTCAGGAACTAGGCTACGGGTTTAAGGTTTTGGGTTAGGGTCACTGAACCCTAAACCCTAAAACCTAGACCCTAGACCCTAAACCCTAAACATCCTTAAACCCTACACCCTCAGCAAGACAGCTTAGCCCAGCGGCTGCCGCCCGCCAGAAGAACCACGGCAGCTGCCACCTCCCATGAGAACACCCTAAAAGCCTAAACCTCAAGCCCTAAGCCCAAAACCTCCCATGAGAACACCCCAAAACCCTACACCCTAAAAGCCGTAAGTGTAGTCTTCGGCGGCTTGCTTTTAACTTGTGGGTTCAGGAGGGTGGGACTTCGCAATTCTGAGCGCCCTCCTCACTCCCGAAACCCTCCACAGCTTTGCGTTTAGGGTTTAGGGTTTAGGGTTTAGGGTTTAGGGTTTAGGGTTTAGGGTTTAGGGTTTAGGGTTTAGGGTTTAGGGTTTAGGGTTTAGGGTTTAGGGTTTAGGGTTTAGGGTTTAAGGCTTAGGGTTTAGGGTTTAGGGTTTAGGGTTTAGGGTTTAGGGTTTAGGGTTTAGGGTTTAGGGTTTAGGGTTTAGGGTTTAGGGTTTAGCCTAGAACGACTAGACGTTTCATTTAGGGCCTTAGGGTTTTCATGGTCCACAGATTTAGAGTCTCCGAGGCCCTAAACCCAATAAACCCCCCAAAAACCCTAAGCCCAGACAAAACCGAAAAAAAACAACCTGGAAACCCTTTAAACAACCCCTAAAACCCTGCAAAACCTCCAGACATCCGTGAAAACCTGACATGAAAACCTGAAAAAACAGGCAAAAACCCTTGTAAGTACAAAAAGGAAAAAATAAGGAACCACTAAGAAGCACCCTAAAAACCAAGAAACATCAAGCCCTTGTCCCTAAACCCTAAACCCTAAACCCTAAACCCCAAACCCTAAACCCTAAACCCCAAACCCTAAACCCTAAACCCTAAAGGCCTGGGCATGGGCGCCCAGCTTGCTCTCGACTTCGCCCAGCTCCACACGGAAGCCGCGAATTTTCACCTCGCGGTCGGGTTTAGGGTTTCAGGGTTGCAGGGTTTCAGGGTTTAGGATTTAGGGTTTAGGGTTTAGGGTTTAGGGTTCTGGGTTTAGGGTTTAGGGTTTAGGGTTTGCGGTTTAGGGTCTTGGGTTTGGGGTTTTGGGTTTTCTTGGGCTTTTGGAGGGCTTTTAGGGTTTTCAGGGATCCGAGCCGGCTTCGGCGTTGGTGGGCTGAGGGCTTGGGGGATGTCATCCGACGTTTAAGTCATCAACGACCATTGACCTAATAGGTCTTTTTTGTGCTTCGATATGGGTAGTGATCGGAATTAGGGTCCCTTTTTTGGGGTCCTTATTCTAAGGGTACTATAGAGGGGAACCCATCTGGGAGAGCTACCCCTATACTTGGGGGGCGTTTCGACGGGCTTTGTCCGCGGACGGCACTGCTGATGCTTCATGCTTCATGACACATGATGGCGCCTGACTACGCTCCGATGCTTCTGTGGCTCCCATTCTCTCTCAAACAACAAGTTTTAATGCATCATCTAATCTAGGGGCCTCAAAAATCACAAAAGGGTTTTGGGGGGGGTTCTGGTAGAATAGCTGTATTGGGGCCATAAGGGAAGATCCGACCCTAAATTATTTGGGGGGTTGCGAAAATAGGGGTACTCTTTTGGTGTGTTTCCTATACAAGGGAAGACGATTAGGTAATTATTCCGGCCCCTATATTACATGCGCTTCGGGTGGGCAGAGGATGCTGGTCCCTCGGCATGCGGCGGCGGCGCCAGAAGCAAACCGGGTCGCGACACAGATTGCAAAGGCTCCGACAGGTCTCCTAAACCCTAAACCCTAAACCCTAAAGCCTAAAGCCTAAAGCCTAAACCCTAAACCCTAAACCCTAAACCCCGAAGATTGCAAGCCAAACAAGGCCTGATGCACTCAGGGGGGGTGTCTTCCGCCGGCGGCCCCCCGAGCCCCATTCAGTCGAAGTGACCCGCCATGCCTTGACATCCCGCTTCTCTGCACAAGGGACTAAGGGAGGGACCCTTCTAAGGGACCTTAAAATTTATTTAGTGGTTATGTTGGGACTGCTTCGGTATATGGGGACTCTATAAGGTCTATACATATATGTATATGTATATATATATATATCTATCTATATATGTATAGAGGTTTTATAGGGGAATCAGATTGAAGGTCCTTTCTAGGGGTCCCTCCCTTTACCCCTTAGCTGCACCAGCTCTTCAGCCGTGGACATGCTGGCCACCGGGACTCCTCACTCCGGCCAAGGAAGAACTGGTTCTAAGGGGACGAAGGAGGGACCCCTAGAAGGGACCCTTAATCTTGTTCCCCTATACACCCCTATATATATATATATACATATATATATATATACCCTTGAAGTTTGCTAGGAGCACCCTGCATCCTGCCACTGCGCAGCCCTTAACCCGAAAAACCCTAACTCTAAGCCCCATGAACCCTGAACCCCTGCACAAAATATCCCCTACATTCCCTACAGCATCATCCCTAAACTCCGAATCCGTTAAAACCCTGAAACCTTGAAACACCCGAGGTTCCTTGGTTCTGAACCCTAAACCCTAAACGCTAAACTCTAAACCCTCAACCCTCAACCCTAAACCCTGAACCCTAAACCCTAAACCCTAAACCCTGCACCCTAAACCCGAAACCCCTGAACCAAGGGCGCTGGTGGCCTGGTGGTCCATCCGGCCCATGAACTCCAAGTACCCGCCGGCACTTTGCCGGACGCGGTCCCCCGTGAGGAAGGCACGACCTGGAGGAAATCAAACAGTTTGGGGCTTAGGGTTTAGGGTTTAGTGTTTAGGGTTTAGGACTTAAGGTTTGGGGTTTAGGGAGGGTTTAGGGATGAGGGTTGAGGGTTGGAGTGGAGGGCCTGGGGTTTAGGGGTTACAGGGGTTCAGGGCCCTTGACAACCGCCTTGCTAGAAAGTGTCGAATTCTTCTTTGGTTTGGGGGGTTTAGGCTGCCAGGGTCAGCCGTACCAAACCCTAAAACCCTAAACCCTAGCCCTAAACCCTAAACCCTAAACCCTAAACCCTGAAGGGGGGTTAAGGTTGGTAAGGGGCTTCAAGGCTAGGCTTCCGGGATGAGGGTGAAGGATGTCGAGCTTGGGCTTCGGGAAACCAGTCGACCACGATCCAGCTTAAGCCCATCAAGCCTACCCTGCAAAAACCCGCAGAAACCTATCGACTTCCTGTTGTTTGAAGATCCATATCAGAATGGTAGGAAGCTTACATTGGGTTCCAGAGGCAGACAGACTGAAATCTGTCGACGTCTCCAGTTGCCAGGGCCCCACGCCCTCGTTGAACGCAACGAACTTTGCAGCATTCAAGTCCGGGCGTCGCAGGTATCCTCGCAAGGGGCAAAAGTGGGAAAAACACCAAGGTCCTTCCTAGTCTGCGGGGGCGCACTCAGGTTAGGGGCGCACGATCAAGGCGGATTGGAGCATCGGGTTTAGGACTCACTGTCGCGAGGAACTTGAATTCTCCCCTCAACATACACAAATGGCTGCTTTGCCTTTGCCGAGGTTGCAGATTTTTCGCCCCGGCGGCCTTCAGCCACGCCAACCCCAGCGATGAGAAGTTCACCTGCCGCAGCATGATGGTCTCCGCATGGGTGTATGTTACTTCATGCTGGCAGCTCTCACATACTAAGTGAGCTCTCAGTCACAGCAAGTTATCTCTCAGTCTCATCAAGATCAGCTACTAAAGGCATTCGTGCATGCGGGAACCCAAGCCCCGAAGCCACGAACCCGGCCTTCGCAAGCTTCCAGCTCGAGGCCGCTGTCATGGGAGCCTTGAGTAAAGCCCATATTGTTCGGGCGCAAACCCCAACCCCAAATCCTCATATACAGATATCGGCATCCTTAAGTAGATAGAATATTTGAAAATCCGGAGAAAAAACCGTTTCCAAAACGATAGATAGAATATAAAAACCCACAAAACGTTAGATAGAATATTGGCTCAAAATTTAGGGCCAACGGGCGCACCGGGGCCCACTATATTCTATCTATGGGTTCCCTTGTTTGTGACAGTTTCGGGGATTTGGGATTTGGGGGTTTAGGGTTTAGGGTTTCGGGTCTAGGGCTCTAAGCAAAAGGGCGGAGAGGCGCCTTCGGGGTTGGGGTTAACTTTCTTCTAGCTATGGGTTCCCAGAGAAGTTGGGGGTGCTCTCTTCGAGGTCGGGGTTAACTATATTCTAGCTATGGGTTCCCAGAGCAGTTGGGGGTGCTCTCTTCGGGATCGGGGTTGACTATATTCTATCTATGGGTTCTTACGGGAGTTGGGGGCTCTCTTCAGGGGGAAGGCACAAGAGAAGTTATTCCGCTTCTCTCCTCCCTCTCCTCCCCTTTCTCCTCTCCTCCTCTCCTCCCTCTCTCCCGCTCCTCCTCTCCTCTCCTCCTGTCCTCCTTTCGTCCTTTCAACCCAAAAAACCTAACCCTAAACCCCAAACCCTAACTAAACCCGAAACCGCCCCTGTGCCCAGAAGCGTCTGTGCCTGCGGGTGCACTGGCACGAGTCACTCACCGCAAAACGCATCGAAATTTCACAAGAACCCAGATGTTGTGCAGCAACCGTCACTATGGTCTGGCGTTTGACGAATCTGGAAACCCATACATAGAATATGTGTGCAGAAGGGCCCGAAAACGGGCATCTCTTCGAGGTCCTGAAAATATTCTATCTATGGGTTTTGGGACCCTTTGAGATACTCTATTTACGGGTTTCAATATTCTATCTATGGGTTCCTTCAAAAACGTGGGAAAAAGCCCAAAACCCCGAAAAAAAGAACAAAAACATATTCTATCTATGCATGGATGACTATACACACACATCTTCATACTGGATATTCATGCTTGCTTTTCTCCCGCCCGTTAAACTCTGTTCAGAATGTCTCACATCTGTCATGGAAGCATCGCGTGGAGCCAAGGAGAAGTAACTGTGCGTCAGGTCAGGACACGAAAAACAGGTTCCGCCAACTTGCATATCAAAAAAACACATTCCCGCCAACTGAAGCGGATTCCCGCCAAGTACATCAGAAAACTAGGGACATGGCTTGGAATAGCCAGGTAAACATATTCATATACATATTCATTGTACATATACGTATATAGATGATGAGGCACATTACAGAGTACCAGTTCGTAATCCCAGTTACCCAGCACTATGAGCAGCACGTGGCAACTTTGAGCTTGACATTGGAATACTTTAGGGCCCTTAAAAATTGGAGCAAGGTTTTGGGGGATTCTTCCGGCCCCTATATGTGGCATTGCAATCAGTCAAGAGTGCATGCCAGAAGAACTACAGAGTTATGCAATCATGGAATATGGGGTTGTGTGGCAGAAGCTTATTTCGCAGCTTTTGAAGTTAGTTTTACGGAAGTTAACAGCGTGGCCTCCATGATGATACAAATGTACTTGATTTCCCGCTTCCACTTCCAGTCCTACCACTAGTTCCAATCTTCTCCCATGTACCGCACCATCTGCCTTTACTAACTGAAGGCATATTCCATTTATATACATATTGTAATTCATTCCGACAGTTCAATCAACAACTCCTAAATTCAAATTTTTGCTCTAAGCTCATGAATATCAACATCACATCTACAACCACACATAGAAGGCTTCTTAGGTGGTATGTATCGTGATACCGACGAAGAAACGGTTCCGGGCAGCCGAGGATCTGTCACCTGAGTCGCCTGTAGAGAGAAGCTGCAGTTTGGTTCCTGCGCACACAGCCAAGGGTTTAGGAGCTCAGAGTTTAGCGGTTTGGGCGAAGGGGGGGAGGGTGGTGTTAAGAGTTTGGGGAGTTGAGGTGAGGGCGGGGGCGGGGGCGAGGGCTTGCAGTTTAGGATGCAAGGGTGTCGAGGTTTGGACTCATACATCTGGCGTTTGAGAGTTTGGGGGTTCTGACACCAAAACCCTAAACCCTAAACCCTCAGCCCTAAACCCTAAACTCCTTAAGCCTAGAAGCTCCATGACCCCAATAAACTCTCCTTGGATTCTTGGATTTAGGGTTTTCAGGTGGTTGACGGTTTAGGCTTGTTTTGGTTTAGGGTGTTAGGGCTGTAGGGTTTTAGGGTTTTAGGGTGTTAGGGTTTCATGTTTTACGGTGTTTAGGGTTTGGGGGGTTTTAGGGATGCAGGGTTTCAGGGTTTTAGGGCTGTAGGAGTTTTAGGAACTTTAGGATTTTGCTTGCCGTGGCCTAGCAGGGGAATGCCGATGGGCACGACGGTCTCATTCCCTGCGGGCCGGAACTTGGGAGGTTGATGATGCAAGATAGGGGCCTCTTTGATGGTTCCTAAACCCTAAACCCTAAGGTTCTAGTTGCGGCTTTAGGCCCCCTAATTTAGCAGGAATGGGTACATTGGGTTCTATTTTGGCAAGTATTCACACCCCCATGCTGGGGTTTTGCTTTGGGGGTTTTGGATGGCAAGGCTCGCAAAGCAAACCCCAAGGGCAGAATGCCTTGGAGATGATGGGCCGCAGACCAAATTGTGGTCTCTGTGGGCCCATAAGCATTCCTGGTTTAGGGCTTGGGTTTTTGGAGATGTGGGGTTTAGGGTTGGTGTGGGGGTTTGGAGGGGCTTTGGGGGGTTTTGGGAGGGTTTGGGAGGGTTTGGAGGGTTTGGAGGGTTTGGGGGTGGTTTGGGGATTTGGGCTTGTTTTTTTGGAGATGTTGGGTTTTAGGGTTCTCGTGTTGTGGTTCTGTGGTTTTGGTGTGTGTTCGGGGCTTTCGGGAGTTTTGGGGGGGGGGGGGGGGGGTTTGGGGGTTTGGGGTTCAAGGTTTAGGTTCCGGACCCGGGGTTTAGGCGAACTCCTGAACCCAACCACCCCACACCCAATGTGCCGAATCACGGCGTAAAGTCCCAAATCCCGAAACAGCGAAACCTTAGTCCTCTGAACTCTTGATAAAACCCGTTAAGGCTCAAACTTGTACCCCAGTACCCTAAACTGCTAAACCCAAAAAGAAACCCCAAAAACACTCAAACCCTAAACCTCCCTAGGCAACAACTCAAGCTGAACCCAAAAACCCATGAGCCGAGGCGCCACAACCCCGCCCTGCAGAGATGGAACAGAGGGGCGGCCAGCTGGCTTGGAAACGCCTCTTCCAGAGGAAGCAGACTCCAGCACTCCGCAGTTCAGGGTTCGGGGTCCGAGGCGGCCCAGAGGGCTTAGGGTTTAGGGTTTAGTGTTTAGGGTTTAGGATTTAGGGCTTCGGGTTTAGGGGTTCAGAGGTACCCCCGAAGACCTAAACCATACCTAAACCCCTCGTGGGCCGCCTCCCCACCGCAGATGGCGGCGACGTTATCACCGCCTTCCCAGCCTGCGGAGGGCGAGTTCGGTTTAAGGAACACAACAACATCAGTTTTCCCGTCTGGAACCGACGCAGGGTTGTAGGGTTTAGGCTTCAAGCAATGGGGGTTTTAGGATTGGGGGTCCTGGCCTGCTTGCATCAGGGAGCGGAAGCTTGTTGGCGTCGCCTGCCCATGTCGTGCCGGTTGAAGGTTACAGGTGCTAAAGGGTTCCGTTAGGATTTGGGGTTCAACATTCTTCTTTTCTAGTCGTTTGCGGGTATCGTCTTTTCCCCATTCCTGTTGTCTTTCTGTTCTCCGGTTCGCGAAACATGCTCATTATTTTCATATCAAGCCCCATGAAAAAGATGAACAGAATATAAGAAACGAATTGAAGATAAAGCATAAAGCGTACCACTTGCATCTCTATGATCAGATCCGGTCAATTTCGAAATCTTGAAAATTAATTTTTACTAGTTGGGGTTGATCTAAAGGTCCTTCTGGGAAACTGTTTCTACTGGCGGAGAAGGGAACCCAAGAAACCACATAGACATACAGGTTCTGTTTACCGGAATTCCCCTTACAAAGACCCTTATACCCCAACAGTAAAATCCTCATGTTTCTGTAGTCTTTGGGGGCCCCGGAGACATAGGGGTAATTTGAGGTACCCTATATACTCCCTTAGAGAGGATAGATACAGGGCCCTAACACCCACATTCCCTACGAAGAACCAGGATATTTTTGTTGGGATGTTCCCCCTTATACTAACAGTCCTTAATAGGGATCATAATCGTGTACTATAATCCCTATTAAGGACTGCTAGGATAAGGGGGAACCTTAACAGGGATTAGAGTACCCCCTACTATAATCCCTATTGAGGACTGCTAGTGGGAACATCACAAGGCATCTTGGCTCCACTTTAGTTCACTCCCTCCCGCCTGGAAGATGAGCCGAGCCGGCCTGGGCTCTCATGAGGGAGCTGCAAAGGGGGCGGGGGGGGGGAACCCCAAATTCCCTAATCCCTAAACCCTACACCCTAAACCTGAAGGGAGCACAGGACGACCGTTCTCAAAAACAAACCGAAACCACAAGGAGGCAAATGCATGGTTTACAGTCTGGGGTTGGGACCCTAAACCCTAAACCCCAAACCCCAAACCCCAAACCCTAACCCCTAAAGCCAACACCCCCAAACCCGAAACCCTAAAGCCCAGAGGCGATGCTGGCCGCTGCGCCCGGAGGAGCGCTTCCAGGGCTCGGCCGCTCCGTGCCGTGGCCGTCGACGCCAGGACCAGGCCTGGGGGCTTGGGGTTTTGGGGTTTGCGCTGGGATGTTCCCTTCTCCTAGCAATCCTTAATAGGAATTGTTTAGGGGGGGTACTGTAGGGTTGGGGGCTTGGGGCTTGGGGTTGAAGGGCCGAGAGTTTTGGGGTTAAGGGCGTTTTAGGGTTTAGGAGTTTAGGGTTTAGTGTTTAGGGTTGAGGGTTTAAGGGTGGAGGGTTGAAGGGTTGAAGGGTTGAGGGTTGAGGGTTAAGGGTTTTAGGGATTTCGGGTTTGGGGTTTTCAGGGTTTAGGGTTTGGGGTCTTGGGGTCTTGGGGTTTGGGGTTTGGGGTCTTGGGGTTTGGGATTTGAGGTCTTGGGGTCTTCGGGTTTGGGGTTTGGGGTTTGGGGTTTTAGAGCTTTTCGGGGTTTGGGGGCTTGGGGGTTTAAGCGTTTCGGAGCTTTAGGGGTTTGCTGTTTGGTTTTGGAGGGGCAGGGGCTTAGGGTTAGGGATAGGGGCGTTTGAGTTTAAGGTCATGGAATTGGGCCTTCTGGCCTAGAGCTTTCGGTGTTTGAAGGTTTGCCCTTTAGGCTTCGGGTTTTGGGATTACCTTTGCGTTTCCGATGTTGGGACGCTTCTCTTTTGGCTCTTGGACTCTGTGGGGCTTTAGATTCAAGATTTAAGGTTCAGGGCCATTGCCATGATTGTTAACCCTTCCCCAGACCCCAAATCCCAGCATCCAGTGGATCTTGGGTGGGGTGCCTGGGGGGAAGGAGGGGGGTGTCCCAGGCACTAAACCCTAGGCAAAACCGTTTCTGGGTGCTGATGCAAACTGGATCCGTCATGGAGGGCGCGGCGCCGGAGTTTCGTACAGAAGCTTTCTTTTTTCAATCAGGGAAGCTAATTGGATCCCAGTCGGATGAAGATATGACATGTCTATGCACCACCATAAAACCACCTTAGAACACGATCCGTATCGGAGCCTTGTGGAAGAGAAAGCGAGCTACTTCCAAAACCTTAAGCCCAAGGGCGCGCCCCAGTCAACACCAAGAGTTCCTTCTTCTCGGTGTGGGTGGGGTCCGAAGCCCTCGACGCTTACCAACAGCGATAGGCATAGTCATAGATCTGAGAATGACGCACACGCGCACGCAGAGAGACAACAATTATAGTGAGGTGTTCCTTGTGTTGTGATATTATTGCATTAGTATGGTATGATTCTGTACTGCTAGGTCATCTGTTGTGTAACTACGTTATTATATTCGTATATTGGAGATTCTAAGATTCGCATATAAATATGCTGCTAGCTTATTTTTTATGATAGTATTTTTGTAGTACATTAATATATGCATACACATGTATGTATGTATGTTTGTTTGTTTGTTTGTTCGTATTTATTTGATATTTATTTATGTTGTTATTCATGTATTTCTTATTTACTTATTCATTTTGGTTTATAACATGCAAAAATATATTGTTGAGTTATGAGTATATGATGTTGCTATCCTATTATCTTATTGTCTTATTCTCTTACTCCCTTCTTCTCTTGTTATGTTCTTATCTTATGTTCTTATTATTATCTTACTATTCCACTATCTTCCTCTACCATCTACTCTTACCATATTAGCTCCTTAGCACAAAGCCTTCTGGCAGCTCGCCAAGCCGAAGACCCCCCCCTCCTTCCCTGAACCCCTGGTCGAGAGGCGAAAGCCGCAGCACAGCGGCCAGAGCATCCTTTGCGGGAAAGGGAGGGAGGGGGGAGAGGGGGGAAGGGGAAGGGGGAAGCGCGAAGCGGGGCAGGGGGAAGACCCTGAGCCCTGAAACGTAGACTCCTAAAGTCCGGAGCTTGCAAGTCTCAACCCGGAAACCGAAAGCCCGCAAAAACCCTGAAACCCAACGCCGACTCGCGAAGCCCTGAACCCCTAAGTTCTTGAATCCCTAAATCCTTCAACCCCGAACCCCTTTTAAAGCCCGAGACCTGAACCCCCGAAAGCCTCTAAACCCTGAAACCCCGACATCCCAGAAAAGGGGTCGTTAGGTGTCGGGCGCGGGTCTTCAAACTTTGGGCTTAGGGCAGCGGGAGATTGCTGCGGTCTAGGGTTTTGGGGCTTCGGGGGGGCTTAAGGGTTTCAGGATTTGAGGGCTTTGGGATCCATACAAAACTTATGTTGGTCAACGAAAAAGCCACCATCCAAAGGAGTCTGAGTACATGTTGGCACAGGAGCGATTAGGGCTTGGGGTAGGGCCTTGGCAGGGTTTGAGTCGGTTGGGGCTTGACAGGTTCTGGATCTATGTTCAGCCTTAGCCCAAGCCCACCACAAATTTCCGGGCATCCCGACCTGTTCTTCCTACTCTTTTGGGGCAGTTCAAGCCCAGGGTACGGGGGCATTGGTTCCCTTCTTTCTTTCAGGGCCTGGGGCTTGGGTCTTGCATCCAGGCTTCTCCAACACAGAGATGTCGAAGCAGAAGGTTGTCACGGCGACAAGCACGTCGTCCTCGCGTCCCGCTGCCTGCGTCAAGGGACCTCCCCACCCCTACCCTAAACCCTATAAACCGCAAAAACCCTTAACCCTATAAAGCCTAAACAATATAAACCCTAAAAACCCTAAACCCCAAAAACCCTAAAAACCCTAAACCCGGCAACCCTACAGGCCCCCAGATTTCCAGTGGCTCTAAGGCCGTTGAGCACGGAGCACCAAAACGCTGCTGCTTAAGGCGAGGTGGGGGAGCGGCTGTAAGACTTTGCGGATTTGGGTATAGGGTCTACAGCATAATAATTTGAAGGCTACGTAATTAAAGGGGAAGATGTTCTTGCAAACAACGACAGTCAGGATCCATTCCTCCACTCCCGGTAAGAACCAGAACATACGGCTGCCAGGAGAAACACCTGCACCCCTTGAAGCGTTTTTAGGCTGTAAGGTTTACGAAGTTTACGGCTTAGGGGCCCGTGGGCGCTTAGGGCTTAGGAACCGGTATTCTAGGGCCCCAGTGAATTCAAAAGCAGCGTTTAAGTCACAATTGCAGAAGAAGGTTGGATGATGTTTATCCTAGCTGTTGAATCTCCTGACGTCTAGCTGCTGACGCTCCTGAAGGACTCGACCACCGAGCCTGGCGCACGCTTCTCTCGAAGGCCTGGAGCACATTGGCCACAGCGCCGGCTGCCACCCGCACGCCTGATCGAAGGAAGATGTCGGAGCGCTTGCGATGCTCGGGGTTTGAGGTGAGGGATTGGGTTTTGGTTCCCAGTCGTTGGGGCAAAAGCATCAACTCTGTACCAACATCTGCATGCCCTACAGCCACAACACACAACTAAACCCTAAACCCTAAATCCTGAACCCTAAACCCTAAACCCTGGACCGCCTTTCGGCTTGCCAGTGGAGCCGGAGGTGTAGATCACGTAGGCCAGGGTGCTGGGTGCCTGTAGGGCAAAAAGTTGAGGATGTGAGACAGGGTTTAGGGTTTCCGATTTAGGGTTCAGGGCTTCGGGGGCTATGGGATGGGGTTTGTTTTGGTGCAGTAGGGCAGAACTCACCCGTAACGGTCACAGCCTCTGAACCCGAAACCCTCCCCTCGCGCCTCCGGAGAAAGTTGGGAAGCCGGCGATTTCGAGTCTACCGACTCAACCTCGCCACTGGGCCAATGGAGCCTGCCCAACAAAGGCTTCAAGCAGCTTGGGGGCTGAGGGTTATCGGCTTGTATACGTTCTGGGGTTGTGCGGGTTTAGAGGTTTAGGGGCTTCCAGGTGTCTGGGGGGAGAGGGGAGGTGGAGCAGGCTTCATCACCTTCTCCCCCTACAGGGGCTTCGGGTTTCGCAGGCTTGCGATGCAAAGCTTAGGATCTTAATGACTGAGGTTTTCGAGAACCGGCCACTGGATGTTAAAGGGGGCCTCTAGTACAGCAAGCAGTTGAGAACTTCAAGGGTTTAGGGTTCAAGGGTTCGGGACCAAGGATTATCTGAGATGTGCTGAAGAAAAGAAATCCCAAACCCTAAGCTCGGAGGAGAAGCATGCATGGCTTGGTTCGTGTTCTAGCACGGGGTTCAGGGCTCAGGGCCTTTCGGGTTGAGGGTTTAGGGTTCAGGGCTTAGCTTGGGTCTTCGGATTGAGGGCTCAGGGTTCGGGTTGAGAGCAGAAGTTGGTGTAAGGGTTAGGGTAAAGGCCCTAAACCCTAAACCCTAAACTCTAAACCCTAAACCCTAAACCCCAAGCTCCACACCCCCATACAGTAGTGGTGGTGCATGGGTCCTACAGCTGATTCAGTGGCAGTCCTGAAGGAGCAGTATCACTTTAGAGTTAAGGGCAGTTACATGGTCCCTTAGTATGGGCCCTTGAAAGGCTACCCCTTACATATCGTCAAGTCTGGCCTAGGGTCCCAGAGGGCTTGATTTTAACCACTGTTTGCTGAAGCGCCCAAAAGAAATAAAAGAGAATAGTCCCTATATTCCACTTATAAGGAAGGGTAAAACAGGAGTACGAAGGAAGGGTATTTTGTCTTTGTTTGTTTTGGGGGGGGTTAAAGATAATGATCCCTGTATCACCATTATAAGGAAGAGTGTGTCTTGTATTTGCTCTTTTTTGCTTTTTTTTTTTTGGGGGGGGGGGGGGGGGGGGGCAAAGATAATGATCCCTATAGTTCCCTTATAAGGAAGAGTATCTTTTTAGTTTGTTCCCCACCCTCGGTGTTGGGTTGTTAGATTTACTCAGTTCTTCTCCTCGCCCGGAACTCTTCTCCTCGCCCGGTCTGCTCATCCCTGGAGTGCCCAACCTCCTTGGAGTGCCCCCTGGAGTGCCCAAAACTAGAGTGTCCTTGCCAACTCCAGAGTGTCCCTGGAGTGCCCAACCCCAGAGTGTTTCTGGAGCTCCCAACCTCTGAGTGCCCTGGAGCGCCCAACCCCAGAGTGTCCCTGGAGTGCCCAACTGCAGAGTACCTCTATCCAGAAAAAGTAAGGATGTTCGAAGTAAAAAAAAAAGAAATATATATATATATATATAATATTTTTTTTTTTTTTGGGGGGGGGGGGGTTCTTTTTGGCAAATCGTAGCTTAAGCCTCTTACGCTTCGCTCCCCAGGCCGCGGCACCTCAGGGTCTGCCCGTCATGGCGGAGGTCCTGCGCCGAGACCCGGACACCCCTTTTGAAGACCGGAGGCTCAGCCCTCAAAGGCCCAAAGAACCCTACACCCTCACCCCTAAACCCGAAACCCTACGCCCTAAGCCCTAAACCCTCAACCCTAGATGCTAGATCCTATGGGCTGAACAGAAGGGCAGCACAAAAAGGGGCGAAACGAAACTCTCGATCCCAACAAACAGATCGACTGCTGAAGGCTGGGAGGGTTAGTTTTTTGGAGGCTTAAGGGCTGACATGTTGGGGATGTCTAGGGTGTAGCAGGGTCTAGGGATTGGGGTTTTTCGGGGGGAAGACGCCAAACTCCCGTAGACGGGTCCTTGGGCTCTGTCCGAGGTTCCGTGAGGAGGAGCTGCGCCTGGAAAGCAAGTCGGGCAGCAGGGTTTAGGATTTCGGGGGGCTTGTTAGTCGTGTTCATTCAATAGGAAAAACGCCCCCATGTCTGTGCATACCCAAGAAGACACGGACACCCCGAAGCCCCGAAAGCGGAAGGCCCGTTTTTTGCTGGGGTGCGGTTTTGATTGGAGGCGCGTTTTCCTGGGGACAAAGCCGGCGCTTTATACTACGCTGCAAGAGTGCTTGGATCGGCTTCCCTGGTGCCTGCGAATCCTCGAGGAGGAATCGGAGCCGGGCCACGGGAAAGGAGGGTTCCAAGGGTACCTTGGCTCTTGGGGCCTGTTCATGGCGGGCCTCCGGGGGGAGTGAGGGGCATCACGAGGAGGCTCTTAGCCTGAAGCGATCTCATAGAACTGCAAGAGTTCGCGCTTCACAGTTTGAGGGCTCATCCAAGGTACCCCTCCCTGAACCCTCTACACCCCTAAGAGCCCTAAGCCCCTAAATCCCTGAACCATAAACCCTAAACCCTCATCCGCACAGACTCCGCCAATCGCGGGCCGGTTCGCATAGGCGGCGCCCGCATACCAGACACCCAGCAGTGCCATTGGCAGAGCAGGGCCTCCCACGATTCAGGCTGAGGGTTTGTTTAGGGTTTAGGGCTTGGGGCTTGGGCTTAGGGCTTATGGCTTAGGGTTTACGGCTTAGGGTTTAGGGTTTAGGGTTTAGGGCTTAGGGTTTAGGGTTTACGCTTGTTTCGATATGAAGCTGAGGGTACAGATGAGCTTTGAAGAACTTCGTAATCTGCAAAGTGCCATGGTCCGACTGATGAGAGCCATCTGAGAGCATCTCCCACCCCGCGCCATCTAAAAGTGGCAAAGGAACCACCCTAACCTAGTTTGCCTCGAGTTCAAGCGTTTGGGTAGTCCTTTAGATGATGCTCCCCGTTCAGGTACCCTGAATCTTGTCCTCTGGCTGATTTCTTACTAAGAATCTCCAGCCCTAAACCCTAAACCCTAAATCCTAAACCCTAAATCCTAAACCCTAAACCCTAAACCCTATTGAGCTTTGCCTCGGGGTAGGCACACAGCCACGAGGGCGTCATAGCGCGACCTCGCGGGGGGGCGCCGGATCTTTGGGGCCTTGGGGAACCGGGAACTTGGAATGTGGGGAACCCGAAACCCTGAACCCTACACCCTAAACCCTACACCCTAACCCCAAACCCTGAATCCTGAACCCTAAACCCAAAGCCCTAAACCCAAATCTCCTAAGCCATAAACCTCTACCAGCGCCCGAAACCCACAAGACTCAAGCCCCAGGCCTTTCAACTCAAAACCCTGAGGTGCCCTGAGCGTTTGAAAACAGGCTTTGTGCGGGGAGGCCGATGTTTTGGGGATTGCTGGTGGCCCAGGGTTGCGGGTTGAGGAGGTTTGGGGCTTAGGGAAACAGGAATTCGGGATTCAGGGAGGGGGGGCATTGTTGGGGGTTCAGGGGAAAGTTGAAGCCCTGAACACCTGAGGCGAAACTGCAATGATGACGTCGAGTTGAAGACTGAGCTGGGTGTATGGCGACCACGACGGTTTAGAGCATAGGTGAAGACGATCGTTCATGAGATTGGATGACGAGACCATGCTTGCTTTGCGTCCATCGTGGTCGCGTCGACCCACAAAATGCTCTGGAAACAAATATGTCTCGATGCCTTTCCCCCCACACCTTGCAGCACTCCCCACATTTCGGCTTTGGAGAACAACTTTGCGCCCACTTCCTTTTGGCTCCCAAGCTCAAGAAGCTCTGTTTCTAGAAACCCAGACCGAAGGATCTTTGCTCCCGAACACCCCGCCAAGGCACGCCAGCCGGCACTGGATTGCCCCGGCCAGGCTACGTGCCCGATGCCTGCGAAAAGGAGGCAGCTGGGAGCTGGGATAGCTGGAAGCACCGCCGGTGGTCTTTTGGGCGTTGGGGGGATTGGGATTTGATAAGGCTCGAGGGGTGAGATTCTCACTCTGGGTGCTTAAGCATGCCTTTTGGCTGGGAGGCATAGGGTGCTTGTGCAGGGTTGTACACAGCGTGTGAGGACCCTGCCTCGATAGACCTGGCGAATATGCATCTCCTCAACACCCGCAGCAGCACCATCCCCACAAAGTTTTCGTTCAGCGATGCCTTTCGTGATACTCAACTAGGGAATTAGAAGCCGTCTCCGCGTTCGAGACGAATGTACTTTCAACCTCATCCACCCGTAAACTTGATGAATCATACAAGGATCATGCAACCTGACGCTAGAGCCCGGCTCCGGCACCTGCGCCCCTACATTTCAAAACCCATGATCTGACCAAACCTCCCCCCCCCCTACAACAACCCCTCAAAGAAGATCATTGTTCGATCCCTGCGTGACTCTAAAGGGTGGGCGCTCCAGGCACATGCGGGATTCGCTGCCAGAGTTCTTTGTGGTTGGGCACTCCCTAAACCCTAAACCCTAAACCCTAGAACCTAGACCCTAAACCCTAAACCCTAAACCCCAAATCCTGGCCTCAGGGTCTCAAGATTCCAGGCGCTTTCCAGGTCATCCTGTCTCGGCCCGGCCATGCCATGCCAAGCCAGCGCCCTACTGAGCTTAACCCCTATCCCCAAACCCTAAACCCTAAACCCTAAACCCTGAACCCCAAACCCTGAACCCTGAACCCTAACCCCCATCCCCAAAACCCTAAAACCTGAGCCCTAAACCCTGAACCCTAACCCCTATCCCCAAACCCTGAACCCTTAAACCCTCAACCCTGAACCCTAAACCCTCACCCCTGAACAGAATGCTCCGTCGGCCATGTAAAGCTGGGGAAGGTCGATGGCGCTGGCGCCTGAAATCCTTCGTGCTCTGGAACCTACGAGGGTCTGCCGAGGTGCGTCCGAGGCGACTGCCTCTCGTTGCGGCTGCGCCGTCGCCAGCGCCTCAAAGAGCTCTACCTCAGCATCAGACCAGGCAAAGCCCGGTTTAGGGTTTAGGGTTTAGGGTTTAGGGTTTAGGGTTTAGGGTTTAGGGTTTAGGGTTTAGGGTTTAGGGTTTAGGGTTTAGGGTTTAGGGTTTAGGGTTTAGGGTTTAGGGTTTAGGGTTACCCCCCACCAAAATTTGATACCAAGAGCTCCAATGTCCAGAAAGACCCTGCGCAGGGGAGCAAACCAGGTTTCGCAGTGGCCGAGGCTTCACATTGGAGGTCAAATGTGCTAGGAGATTCAAACCTAAACCCTAAACCCTAAACCCGAAGCCCTAAACCCTAAACCCTACACCCTCAATAACTTTCCCGATAAACTACACGAAGCTGTAAGCAGCCCGGAACTTCTTGAGTTCAAGGCTCTTGGAAAACCACCTGGCAATTCCAAAGACCCTAAACCCTAAACCCTAAACCCTAAACCCTAAACCCTAAACCCTAAACCCTAAACCCTAAACCCTAAACCCTAAACCCTAAACCCAAACCTACCCTAAACCACTGAGAGCACAGCCCGCGGCTTACGGTTTTAGGGCTAGGGTTTTACTCATTTAGGCGGCTGCACAACCTTGACCCGACACTACTTGTTCTTACCACCGAAAACTGGAAGCAGTCGCCTTGCCCTGCAAAACCTTCACCGCACACCCTGAACCTTAGAACCCTTGAGCCCCTCAACTTCGGAGATCCCAAAACACCCGCCCCCAAAGAAAAAAACAAACAAACAAACATTTGACTTTGACTTTGACGCTTGCGTAGTCTGCGCTACAGTGAGCATAGCCCAGCATTCACGTGACCATGTCACAACAAAGGTGAACATCGAGCATAAAGAGCTTAATTGAGCGGAGGAGCGATGTGAACATCAAACCTCCACTTCCGAGCAGAACGTTGCATAAACAAATCTTGCAAGTGAGCGCGAGGGTCCGGCTCATACATATGTTTGACACGATATGATACACCTTTGGTTGGGCGGCTGTAGCCCAACACGTACAGACTACGACAATTCACAACACATTCCCCAGGAAGGAGAGCTACGTGCATGCTTTTCCTAAACCATTTGACTGCCGCTTGGAATGTTCGCAGGTCTTCTGCAAACGTGAATGCTTCCAGCGGTACATCACATGTGCAAGAGTCCCGCATCATGTATGATGGCCTTTTCTTGGCACGAATTTTTTTAATGTTGACGGGCGGTCGCAACCCCGTGCTGAAGATGAAGTTGACAAGGAGTTCAGAAGATGAAGTTGACAAGGAGTTCAGTCAAACAAACAAACAAACAAACAAACAAACAAACAAAACAAACAAACAAACAAACAAACAAAAACAACCCCCCCCCCCCCCCCCCCCCCCCCCCCCCCCCCCCCCCAAAAAAAAAAAAAAAAAATGAATAAATAATAGAACGTGCAAAACCCCCCCTCAAAAAAACCCCCAAAAACCCAGAATCCCCCCCAAAAAAAACCTCAAAAGCACCCAAAACCCAGAATACCCCCAAAAAGAACCCTCACAAGCACCTTTAAACCCAGAATCCCTCCCGAAAAAAACCCTCAAGCCTTCAAACGAGCAGTGCCTCCCTGTTACTGGCAGCGGCCGGGTGTTGGCCTCAGGTCCGCTGAGCGCCGCACCAAGCAGCCTGGCCTGAGAGTACCCGCAGATCTCAGCACTCAACCTAGGGTTTAGGGTTTAGGGTTTAGGGTTTAGGGCTTAGGGTTTAGGGTTTAGGGTTTAGGGTTTAGGGTTTAGGGTTTAGGGTGCCCCTCAACCCTAGATAAACCCTGCAGCTTCAAGGGCTCCGGGCCTAGGGGTTTTATTGCCTTTACACAAGCTGAGCTGAAAGGTCTAGGCTGTAGGCTTTAGACTTTGGGGTTTTAGGGTTTAGGGTTGGCTTTTAGGGTTTCCGGGACCTGAATTGGGGGCTTAGCCTCGTTCCTAAACCCTAAACCCTAAACCCTAAACCCCAAACCCTAAACCCCAAACCCTAAACCCTATACCCTAAACCCTAAACCCTAAACCCTCAACCCTGAGAGCAGCAGATCCTGCCTGGTCCATGTCCCGCGCCAGCTCTGTCGGCACAAGGCTGAAGCAACCCGCTGCTCGTCGAGGGTTTGGAAGTTGCAAGATTAGAGTCTGGGAGTTCGGGTGGAAGGTCCAGGGTTCAGGGTCTGGAGGCGTTAGGAGTTTCGAGCTGTTATTGCTCTCTTCTTGGGTGCATGAGGGGAACCCCAAAACCAGAACTTGTTGCGAGGGTTTGGGTGGATCGCCTCTCGAAATCATAGTGCTTTTGCGGCTTCCTGGCATGACACGGCCCATCACCCTAAACCCTAAACCCTGAACCGTAAACACCAGACCGTACACCCTAAAGCTCCCCGTATATGTACATATTTATGTATATACACATATATATATATACATATATATATATGTATGTGTGTATGTACATGTCTGTATATACTTATGTAGTCCATAGGTGTTAGGGCTTACCGATGGCAGTCTTTAGCTTGAAGATGTATGTGCCTGGCTCCACAGAAACCATCAGCTGAAAAGCCGAGGCAGTTCTTCTGACTGCTTAAGTGAGATGTCGAGTTTAAGGTTTAAGGTTTAGGGTTTAGGGTTGTACCTGAAATCTTCAACAACTTTGCGCGCAACCCTAACACCTCAAAGCCTAGCACCTACGTCCCTGAACCTGAATCATGATCCACTCAAAAGCCCTCACGCGGGGAAAAGGGGGAGCGGTTGGAGCATACACCAATCGGGTCATAGTCACAGATCGTCTAATGCCGGCCGCGCTCTCCCTCTCATCTCGTTTTCAAAGCACGCCAGAAACAACGAGAGGGTATGAGTTTGCGCAACCGGCCATCCGCGCAGACTGGAGCGGCATTTGGGGTGCGGGCTTTTCTTTTTTTCGGAACAGTTTTTATGCCCCGGTTTGGGCTGTGGGGTTCAGAGCTTCGGCGGCCCAGTTCTACGCATCAGGTGGCTTGCAAGTCGGCTGTTTCGCCTGAACACGACCCTCCACTCCTGGCAGCACCTTTTCGCAACTCGGATTTTGCGGGTGCTTTGGGCTTCCTGTCCCAGGCCTAAAAAGTCCTGAAGCCAAAGCGTTATACGCTTCAGTGGTTTGGGGCATTGGGGGCCCAAGCGACTCGCAGCCCGGATTTTCAGAGGGGTGAGCGGCTTGGGGTTTAGGGGTTCGGGGGCTTTTAGTTTCAGGCTCACTCCCTCTCTCTCCCTCCCTCTCTCCCTCTCCCTCTCTGTCTCTTTATCTTTCTCTGTCTCTTTCTCTCTCTCTCTCTCTCTGTCTCTCTGTCTCGCTCTATCTCCCTCTCTCTCCCTCTCTCTCACCACAGCCGAAGCTTGAGGGGGTACTTCAGGGTTAAACTAGCGTTTAAGGTGTAGGGAGTAGTGGGCCTAACAATGCCTTTGGGGTTCGGAGAGTAGGCAGGGCTTAGGGCCTAGGGTCTACAGTCTGGGGTTTAGGGCAGTTCAGGGTTCAGGGCTTAGGATTTAGGGTTTAGGGCTTAGGGATCAGAAGTGCTATTGACTGTAAGCGTTTCGCGTGCTGCCTTAGGGTGGCATTGGCGTGCCCTCCCTGCGACACCGGGAAACAGGATCGGCTGAGAGTTTCTGATGTGCGCGAGAACCCTCGGAAAGGTAGCCTGCAAGTCCTTAACCCACGACATCGAACCCTCTACCTTCAGAAGGGCCTTCTCACCCGCCAATCAGCCCCAAGCAAACCATAACTGCCACAACACTAACAACGAGAACCATACATGAGCAAATCATGAGAGCAATCAATGAAACAAGAACCGAAAGAAAGAGAAATGGCCTTCAGCCACCCGGTCGTTTTTGTTGCTCCCTCGTGGTCTAGGATCCTAGTGGAGGTCGAGAGCTTAGGGGCTTGGGATTCATGATCTGGGGCACACGGATTTGATTTTGGGCTGGAAAACCCTACACCTCAACCCAGCTCTAAATCCTTTGAAGGCTTCGGGTTTCCACACATGGGACTCTCAGCCCACCCAGAAAAGGTCGACTATCTAGCCAAGCCAATGTATGTTTGGGGGTAGGGCTCAGGGGGCTCGCGGGTTTAGGGTTTTAGGGTTTAGGGCTAGGGTTTAGGGTTAGGGTTTAGGGTTTAGGGTTTAGGGTTTCGGCTCTAAGGCCAAGGGTTTAGGGTTCAGGCTTCGAAGGTTGAAGGCTGCAGACCTTCGGGGTTACATGGCTTGGAGGGTCACTGCACGCTGGCGCCGAAAGGGGCCGGGTTTCTTGTCTGTACGCCCCGTGAGGCGGGTCGCGTAGCGTCAAAATTAAGGGTACCTTATTGGGGTCCTTCTTATAATGGAATCCCACTACTTGGGCCCCCAATTGTGGGAGTAAGGTTTCGGGCTTGCTTCGGATATAGGGCCGGCTTTGCAGTGCAGAGTTTTGCTGGCCCCCGACGATGGCCTTCGCACGTGGCACCGGTGTGTAGTGTCCTGTTGGTGGATACTCTGAGCTCACCAACATGAGCAAAGCCAGAAATGGCTTCCTCCTGGCTAGCAAATTCTGCTCAGAACTGCGAGCACGCTCCTGATGCCTTCTGTCTCAGCCTGTCTGACAGTTAGGGCTATGCCTGTGAAAATCCGCGGCCGGCGAAGACTATGTCATGCCGCCTACGATCCACAATCAAGGCTGCTGATGCACCCGCTACCTCCTGGACACGTAACATAGGGGCCTTGATAACTAGAACAAAGCTTTTGGGTTTTTTTCGTAGAATTATGCAGGGGCCCTGCGGGAATACTATTAGAAACTATTCCGACCCCCTAAAGTTCTTTACAGGAGCTGTGCCGCCCCAACCCCCCCCCCCCCCCCCACGATTTGCAATCCCAAAACCAGGGGCAAGTCGAGCAGTGAGAGTGCTGGCACTGCAGCATCTCATCAGCATCTAGATTCCTACCCTAATATAATCAGGTAACCCCTAATTTCGTAAACCCCCATGTTAGAGTCAAAGGCTTCAGCTCCGACATCCACCCATGCTGTACAACTGAGTGGCTCGTGTTTTTTAAATTAAACCCTAACGCTTAGGGTTAAGCACACCGCACAGTATGAACTCGATCCTAACCCTTTTACCGTGTGGGCAGAGCAGCGTGCTCAGCGAAGATTGCGCCCTGCAGTCGAGCTCGGCGCTTTCATGGGTATAAAGTTCATGAGGGGGTTTAGGGTTTAGGGTTTGGGGTTTGGGGTTTAGGGTTTGGGGTTTAGGGTTTAGGGTTTAGGGTTTAGGGTTTAGGGTCTAGGGTTTAGGAGGGTTTAGGGTTTAGGGTTTAGGGTTTAGGGTTTAGGGTTTAGGGTTTAGGGTTTAGGGTTTAGGGTTTAGGGTTTAGGGTTTAGGGTTTAGGGTTTAGGGGGTTTAGGGTTTAGGGTTTAGGGTTTAGGGTTTAGGGTTCAGCAGCTCCGGGTCGAGCAATCTCTAGTAGAGCCGCTGTTTGGGCTCTAGAAAAAAACCCACCCACCCAGAGAATCCCAAAACATTAAGAAATATAAAGTTTACATTTTTCATCAGCAAGCCCTGTCCTCCAATCTCATTTGTTCTTTCTGCTCGTGTTCTTTGTCATTCTGCTTGGTTTCCATTCTGCTCGTGTGCGTTTCTTTCTGCTCGTATTCATTCTGCTCGTATTCGTTCTTTTTCTGATCTGCTCGTCTCGTGTTCGTTCTCGTTCTGCTCGTATTCATTCTGCTCGTATTCGTTCTCTCTCTGCTCGATTTCAGTCCGCTCGTTTTCGTTGTTTTTCTTTTCGTATTCATTCT